TGTAAGCCTTGTTTTGTGTTTTCTGTTAGAGCATCATTTGTTTTATCACCATATTGTGTGTCAGATTTTGATTATTCTCCTGTTTGACATTATTCCATTTTGTTTGCTTCATTTCCCCCCAAATTTCTCTTTTTTCTGCACTCCAACCAAAATCATGCCAATCTTGTATTGGTTACTTTCCTGTCACTCACTTTGCCTCTTTCTTCTTCTACCTTTATCTCCTCCTCTGTTTGGCTGTCATTACCTCTACGCCAATCTTGCTCCCTCCCCATTTTGTTGGTATCTATCCCCCCCCCCTGTTCCCTGTCCTCTGTCCCCCTGTCCTGTCTCCTCAGATCTGTATAAGAGTCTCCAGTCAGGGTCTCAGGTTGCTCTGCCTCCTCACTTGCAGCTCGCTTTCTCAGGTAAAATCTGACCCTCCCTCCACCCGCAAAGCCTGCTCCATTTACTCCCTCCTTCCCCCGCCTCCCTTTTCAAGTGTCTGGTGTACTTTGTCTCGGGTTGTCCTTTTCCGTCTGGTCCTGTTCTCTGCTTGTCTGTTGGTGATCGCATGCCTTTTATTTAATGTAGTCAATATTTGCTATTGTCCAATGTGCCTATTAATGCTTTTCACCAATTTCAAGAACTGTATTATTCCTGTCCAGATGTCAGTCAGAGCCAGGGAGGAGATGCCAAGAGGAAAACCCTATGAAACAGCTGGATTTCATCGCCCAGCGGATGCTGTCTAATGAAAACAATGAAGTTTTTGGACAAATCAGGATGGAACGTGACTTTGAGAGACCACTTGTGATAGGGGTCTAAGATGAGGACTGGGTTAAACTTAAGATACTTGATCTGAGAAGATCAGCTAAACTTTTCATGAATACCACAGTTAAATATAACTTTTTAAAAACAATTTGATAACTTTTAAATACTATTCTTCATAGAATTGTTAAATGAAATGACAAATACAGTTTGTCAATGTTTACAAGATAGACCTATATCACTGTGGACAGGGAGAAGGAATGAATGGGATTTTTAGGTGAGTGGGTGAGCGTGTGGGTGAGTGGGTGAAGGTTTGAATGTGTTTGGTTGGTGGGACTGAAAGTGTGCCTTTGTATGTCTCCCCCTCTGATGCATGGTCAGTGTGTCTATTTGGTGCTGTTTTTATTATAATGTAATTATCACTGATACCTGTAAGAAATGTAAACTGCAAATTGAATTTGAGCTTTTTTTTCCCAATGAGAGCTGTACACTTTTTCATTGTACATTAATTCTTGAATGAATTTGTTCCTGTATAGAACTCAAACCTACTTTTAATTAAAATCTTCCCCTTCACAATGGAGTAATTTGATGCAAGTTTAAGACACTTAAAAATCTGGTTTCCTCTGGACTCCCTATAACACACCAGTCTCAAAAGGTATCATCTGTAAGAGAGCCTAATAAAACTGAGGCACAACACCACACAGTAATGGGCAGTGTAGATTTAATTGACACCTTGATTTGGCTATTAAATCAAATTCAAATATTAATTAACCCTAACTTAACCCAAACATGAGAAATGTGAAAATATTTAACAACGATCAACAATGCACGCCAAGTTTCTGAAACATCTTTTGACACCAGATCAAATTACCAGAGTCCAACAAACGACAAGCAAGGCAAAAAAAAAAAAACAATACAAAAAAAAGAGAGGGAAAAAGGTCTGTGAATCTAAGCAGTTTGTGAAAAACTATGTGAAAGGTAACTCGAACTGGCAGTATGAGAAGGTCAGGATTGGCCGGCCCTCCCGGAACTTCTCTCTGATGATTTTTGCCCTCAAAAGCACTGTCGCTTCATGTCCGCCTTTCGGGAACCTACTTGACCAGAGGCCTGGTCTTATCGTCGTCACCACACTGGTGGGCTTTGTACTTTTTGACCTCGGCCATGTACTTTGACCAAGCATCGCTCTTGCCTGGCTCAACCTGCAGGAGAGGAAGCACAAGGGAGATTAACGGTGAACTAAAAATACAAACAATTCAAATCAAATCACACCACTACCACCAAACCGCACTCACTTCTGTGTCGTTTTTCTGCTTCTTCGCAACCATGCCGGTCTTTAGGAACACACCGCCTCTGCGCTTCCCCACCTGGGTTAGGGGATAGAAGACTGAAACCGTTATAGGAGCCCTTGCAGATGGACTGTCAATGAAGGAGACTACACCAGAGCAGAAGGTCTACATTTAGTCTCTTGCCGCAACCACCAGCGTAACCATCATCAGTGAGGAGCATCCCTAGTCTTGACTGGTCTAATAGATATCACATATTGCCACAACGTGTTCATAAAATAATGCAAGTATAACAAAAAAAAAAAAAAAGCACTGTGTGTAATGCTACTGGCAATCAATACTGAAATGTTGGTTATTTCAGGATGTAACAACTCAAAGTGCCAGTTAGAGTAAGGCTGTGAATCAGTGCATGGTGCTTCAGTTTTGGATGTGTGTTGAACTACTGCTATCTCATCTTACAACTGCCAAACCCCTTACAAAGCTCGTCACGGGAGGGGGCTTCTTTTCCACTGGGGTCTGTCCTTGCTCGGTAGCTCTCTCCTCTCCACCTGTGTGCTGCGTCTCCTTTTTCCTCTTTTTCTCCTCCTCCATCTTCTTCTTGAACATCTCCATGAAGCTGCCGTCGTTGGCGAACACGTTTCCGCCGGGCAGCGGGGCTTTGCTCGCTGTCGGTGCCGGGCTGCTGGAGGGGGACGCCGGGCTGCCGCAGCTGGAGTCGCCGCTGCTGCCGCTCGTTTGAGGTTTGCTGTGTGACCGCTTTGAATCCATGATTTCCTGGGGGCGTAAATGTTCACAAACAGGCAACAAAAAAAGAACAAGTCCAGCGGTGTGTGTCCGGTTATTGAGGAGTATGGCTTTATCGCGTTAAGTTGGCCTTTGATGAACAGCACCGCCAACACGCTGCACGACGGACGGGACCCCACCTATATTATATAAAAAAAAAACCTCCAGAGTCTCACTAAACGGCCACAAAGTCCAATTCAGAAAAAAATGCTATTTTTAAGAAAGAAAGCGAGCTGAAAAAGGCTAAAAATGCCCACCAATGTCAGCCCTCTGGCACATAGCTCCCTGACAAAAACAAAAGCAGGCGCTGGTTCGTCTTGCTAGCGAGGCTAATGCTGCGGGCTAACACCCGGGTCAATGAGGCCTTTTACCGGACGAACTCCACTTAAAACCTCCGGTTCGTGTGCGGGACGCGTCCACGTATAACAACACAGCTGCGGTGCGCAACAAAGGTCGAGTACGTGCAGCACAGACCGAGAGGGTGGCGGATCTTTTAACACCAGCGCTGCTCGCTAACTTTCGTCCGTCAGTCGCCGTCGGTCATGTTTGAGGTCCTCTGATGACGTCACGTCTCGGCGGTTGGCGCCCCCTGCCGTGCCGGAAGTGGAACTGATAGTTTTTCAAAATTAAATCCTCACTAGGGCGAGTTTATTAGACCAGGGTTTCTTCAAAGTGGGGGCCAGATTGAAACCTGAGGGAAAATGTAAATACTAATAACAATAATAATAAGTGTGTATTTTATAAAATATAATTGATAAAAAATATTATATAATATATAACTCATATCTTCCAATGTAAAAGTGTGCATGCTGCCTGTTACAGTTGCTCCTGTTTAGGCACTTATTATGTTTCTAGTTCCATTTTTATTTTTTTACTTATGTGTATAAACCTATACATACATTTATGTTTTATATATTTATATTATATATATTGTGTGAGTAGAACCACTATAACAAACAAATTTCCCCACATGGATCAATAAAGTATTCCTGATTCTGATTCTGATTCCTCTAATTGTCTGACAAAACATCATTTATCACATGATGAACGGTCAGTGTGTGTGACTTTGTAACAGTCTAACTCTAACTCACAAAAACAGATATACTGAATCTAATGTAATGATTAAAGAATTGAAATACAAATATAATTGTTGGTGCATTAATAAAAGTAAAAAAATATAACCAGAAATGTTGTTTTTTTTTACATTTGCCATTGTATTGTCAAAGGGTTTTTAAAGACCTAATGCTGTTTGGGAACCCCTGTATTAGACTACTGTTATTGTACTGTGTCCAACATGTTACACAATATAATACAAACCTAAGTGTACATATATTTAACCTGTGTCCTTCACTATAATATGGTGTATCAATCTTTACAGCTGTTATCTAGTCCCATTTGACCGGATCCCTCAGGAATCAATCAATCAAATCTGGTTTCCTCTGGACTCCCTATAACACACCAGTCTCAAAAGGTATCATCTGTAAGAGAGCCTAATAAAACTGAGTATCAATCTTTACAGCTGTTATCTAGTCCCATTTGACCAGATCCCTCAGGAATCAATATAATCTTTTCCCCTTTATTTGTCCCTGTGTTTGTTGTAATAACACGTTCTGGATAGATTAAGGTACGGCAGACTTATACTGTATATAAGAGTGTATAATATTCACCACAGTGAAAGTTACCTCAGTAAATTGAAAGTTAAACTGAACCACTGTCAGCTACATTTTATTATCTAACTGTTGGATACATCTCACCAAGAAGTTTTAGACTAAAGCTCTATACTGAAATTTGTAAAATCAAAAACACTTTGCACTGTAACATGCCATTTTGAAGGTACATGCTGTTTAGTGAAACAGCATGTAGTGATTCATTGTTGGCTAGTTAGATTTATATACGCCGGTTTATAATTCTCTTGAGACACAGAAGTGGTGTGACAGATAAACAATGCTTTCACCATTTCACTCAACTGCCTGGGCTGTTGCACAAAGGATGTGAGAAGTCTGACTAATCAGTTTGGCCTTTAGATCATGACAGAATTAAAGTGTACCCACGAGATGGACCAAGGTGATAAAACCTGGGACAGTATTCTTTCTCACATCCTTCTGGCTAAGTGTTTATAAATGGTTTTGTCATTACGCACTGTTAAGTTTACTTTAAATGTATTGGTAAAGAGGACACCAGACCACCATCTCTTATCTTAAGATCCCATTTATTTGTAGTGCAAAAGTAGAACAGACAGGACTACAAATCTTTGACTTGCCTCAGATCCCTGTGTGAAGTACACTATGCTATAATCTACTAGACCATTAATATGATACAAACAAACACCTAAAAGTTAACCCCTTCAAGCCATGCAAATGTGTAGCAAAGACATTATCATCATACACCATAAATATAAACTCAAATAATGAAACATCGGTAGAAAAATGTGTGCACACAACAGCAGATTCTGGTCTGCGTGGACCATAGCACAAACACTCACAGGGACCAAGTACAAGTCACAAAACAGCAGCTCTGATATGGGACACACGAAAATGACGACATCTGTTGGAAAGGAAAATTAACCAGTAGTGAGTAAAGGCAGACGTAGTGTCTATTACGGGCTCAACCTTTATGTCTGCCTCTGACTTCCTGTCAACAGAAGAATTCCAGCGTATTGATGAATGCATATCCTTCCAGTTCAGTTAAAATGTAAAGGTCAAGCAGCGGTAAACAGCCATTAGCTGAGTCATTTGTAGTGTTTTTATCATTATGTACTCACTGTATATATTGGTTTTTTTGTGATAAACTAGGAGGCCTTCAATTATCAATATTCACATCAGTTTTAGAGCCTAAAGTGGTTAAGTGCAATTAGGTCCTACTCACAACCAACACCCTGTTTAAATTTTTGGGAAGAAGAAGAAGAAGAGGAAGAAAAAAAATCTTCCAGTAATAACTGAATTTGTAGGCAACGAATGAGAACATTGTTCATAAAAATCATTCACGAAAGTCACATGATCACCAGAATCAGCCTGCAGTGTGACGTATACTTTATGTAAAATGTATTTGTGTCAAATGAGACAGAGCAAAGGGGTTGACCCTGAATATCTAAAACGTCAGTCTTATCCACAGAGGGAGTATTTTTAGTATTCTGAGAGGCACTAAACAAACCAACCCTTCTATGAAAGTGCTTTGGTGTATCCTTTGAAAGTCTAACTATTTTACTTATTATGAATATTAGAGTTCAGAGAACATGATTCGAGGGAACACAGAGAGGGAAAAAAAGAGACTAAAGCCATTAACACACCCTCACGATCTTTACGTCTTTTTGAGGACTTTCAAATTAAAACTAAACGCAAACTCATCTCAAAACACATAATCAAGAAGACAAAAATCAAATCTATGAGAAAATTCAAAACAAATGATCCAAACTAAGGACATGTACTAACAGCTGAATGTGATAATTGGTTTTCAGTCTACAGCCTGTGTAGCTTCAGGGCTTCTTAAGCACTTCCAGTAGTAATTCAATAGTAATTGCAATACCCCTAATAGCTCATCTAACCGTAACCTTGACAAAACTATTTCACATTACATCCATTTGTATAACATAAAAAATAAAAAAAAAGGTTTAAAACAGACCTTAAAGAAAAAGGACCAAGAGTCCAAGAGGCTACAGAGGAAATAAAAGTCACCTTAAAAGGTGAGACAACCTCTTTCCAGGTCCTACAACTCCTACTCCATTCATTTCTGTTTCTGTGGGTTAACACAGCAGTGTGTCTCTCCTCTTGGGGCTCCTCAGAGAAAATAAACATTCTCGTACCATAACGAGCCAGCAGGGGGCAGTAGCAGCATGAGGAATACTCTCTGAGGTGCACTGAAGGCATAAAGGCAAACAAGGTACAAGGAGTTCAGATGAAGTCTACTGTAGATCACCTCATCTTCTCTACGCTTCCTTTCAGAATGTTTGTTCTCCTGTCTGCACATCTTTATCTCGGATGGTGTCGCATCAGGCCCCTCTTGGCGTTGGTGGACTGCCTCTGCTGGGCGAGGAAGGACATGGCCTGGTTAGAGGGACCCAGCCGCTCGCCGGACACCTTCTGATGAAACGCCATCCCCTGAGAAAGAGAAAAGAAAGAGTGAGGAATCAGGTGTGGGTGTAATAACAAGCGGATGTGCAGAGTGAGGACCCATGTGGTCTTAAAACATCAACATCTGCCTTCTTGTGGTTTTCAACTACAGAGCAACTCACTTAGATGAAGTTTTTCCTCACATGAAAAAAAATAAAAGGGCCTTCTACATGTTTTATGTATTTCTACACCCACTTACCATGTTGTGCCATGCAGTAATGATGAGTTTCTCCTCCTGGTCATGTCTGGCTCGGCTCTTCTCATAGTCATGCTGCGCAACAGGAACAGACAATCATGCATTAGTGAGACTTAAAAAAAAACTACAGTGACCGGATTTGCCTCTTTATGTCAAAGGTTCAAACCTCCAGGTGCTGGATTTTTCTCTCCTTCTCTGTCAGCTGGTTCTTCAGTGCCTGAATGTCAGGAGTCGCAGCCACTGGCTGCTTGGGATCCAGGGTTTTAATCACCTGCACACACACACAAAGGACATTTCTTAATAGAGTACTCCACTGATTTAGCTGATTTTATTACATCCACGATGGGCCCACATTACCCACAATATGTCTGCCGACAGTTCAGTCAGACTTTTTTCACATACTCTCGCAGACAACTTTGAAATGTAAAATCAGTGGATTTCCCGAGTAAAAATTAACCCTCATATTTTTTTTATCTTAAAGCCATATATGATGAGGACAACATGTTCCCTTTAGGTGCACTGACCGTTCTCGCCTTCTCCACGTAACGTTTATATCGCTCCTCCATCTGCTTCATGTCCTCATCCTTCTTCCGCAGGATCTCCTGGAGTTCGTCTATCTTCTTTGCCACTGAGAGGGAGAAAAATAAAGTGTTAAGAAGAGAAGAAAGAGCGGACACTGGCAGGTGCTTAAAGATCGAGCGAGAAATGACTTACTGTTGCTGTCCACTTTGGGCTCGAGGTCATCAATGACCTCTCTTTTCTTTTGGAGATCTGAATGAGCTTCGTGGAGCTTCTCCCTGAAATTAGCACACAGTGTGTGAATTCACTTTTGTTTGGAACCCACAGGGATAAATAATCTGTTAGAAGCAGCATCTGTACTCACAAATGCTCCTCAAGCTTTTTCTTCAGTAAGGAGGACTTTAAAGAAGAAAAAAAAGGAATTAAACTCAAAACTAACACACAAAGCTTTCTAAATGGCACACACAAACACACAGTATGAGCTGTGAAAGTCAAGCTGTCAAAGAGTTAAATCATGGGCCAGTTGGACAGAGGGTGGGCCGTACTTACGATGGCCTGATTTTGGCAGAGTTGATCGTTGGGGGCAGGCAGAGGGAGGCAGACAGAGATGGGCAGGCGTTAACAGTAAATCACCACAGCAAACATGGGTTAAATTTCCACACAACATGTATCAAAAGTAGGAGAACAAACACTGCAGTTCTCAACAGCCTTTTCAATATACTCAGTGTGCCATGCAAACATCTTGCTTTTACACAAAGGGAGTGCTACCAGAAACATTACTGCTTCCATTATGAAAACTTATTTTGACTTCATCACTTCTAAGAATGTTTGACACTCATGTCTGTCGTTCAAATTTCACACAATTGTCATATAAAACAACAACATTGTTACAAAAATGATAGGTTTATCACTTGATTTCACTTAGCTTATAAGTTTCATGGGGAGAAAAGGATTTCACACACTCAATATTCTGTCAATTCTGGTTTGTGATGAGGGCAATTAAGTGACACAAATGCGAGGAGGAGAAGGAAGAAGGTTCATCCACTCACATCCTCAGTCTTGCTGTCTTGCTCCTGGAGCGCTTTCTGGAGCTCCTCCACCTGAGAACGCAGCTCTGAGATCTGCTGCTGGTTTAATCTGGGAAAATGGACAAAGAAAAGGGAAAGGGACAAGAAGAAAGGTTAGGAACAGAAAGAGCGAAAATAGATACAAGAAACGCAACAAGAGAAAATGATTTAAGGAACATTGTGGGAGAGAGTAACATAGAAAGGGAGGCAGATGGTAAAGATGAAACATAAGGTCATTTAGTTGATACTGTGGGTGGAAGATGTTTTCAAAATATAATGTGGATCTGTGTACATCTGCTGCAGGGAGTGTTCATCCATTCCACCAAGTGTGCTGCCTGGCCATTCACTGCTTTGCTCTACTGAGCATGCTCACTCCACTCCTCTCCTCCTGTTACTGTTGCTGAGGATGCTTCCCACACCCTGGGCCTGGTGTTGCATGGACACACACACACAAACACAAACACAAACACACACACAGTCCACCCACATGTCCACATGCCCACAGGCATGTAAACACACACATACACACACACAGTCAAGGGACAATCTGGCTTTCTCCTGTCTGTCCTCCAGTCCAGCCCACACAGCTCAGTTGAGCACACAGTCCAGAGGGTGAGTTGACATTTAGGCAGATATCACTCCTACCATCAGCCAACAACCAGCTTAATGTCCAGGAACACACAATATGGTGGCCTAGAAGGGACTTATTACTTAACACTTAAGTCAAACTTCTTATTTATCATTGCGTTTTATTTTTAAATCCACCGTATTTAATTTTTACTCCATTCAGTCCTATTATGGTCTTGTCAATTGTCTGTGAAGCACTTTGAACTGCACTAAACTGTATGAAGTATTCTATATAAATAAAGGTTTACTGATTGATTGATTATTTAGTGTTAAATATACACACACAAGTCCCCTACCTGTTCTGAGTTTCCAGGACGTTCTTGCTGCGCTGAGCGTCCTCCAGCTCAGCCTGCACCTCCACTAGTTTCTGCCTGTAGGTCTCCTCTTGGACACACAACATCTTGTTTTCACTCTGTAGACGCACCACTGTCTCCCTGTTGAAGGAAAGGAACAATGAGAAGAGAGGGGGAAATAGGAGAAGGAGGGAAAAGATAGAAGTGGAGGGCAGCTGAAATGGGTCAGCAGAGTCATAAAATGTCTGACAAGCTGGCTGAGTACTTCTATCTGACAACGCCCCGGCCAAATGTGCAGCACTGACATGTGTCGCTATTTCTGGAGTCAATTGCGCCTCACACTACAGAAGATGAATATAGGGCACAAGTGGGATACTGATAGTGACACCAATGCCTGTCTGTTCCAGGTTTAGAAGGAAAATCTCATCCGTTACGCTCAAATTTGGTTGAAACGTACACATTAACCCCCACAACGTGGCTCAGACACAGATACGACACAATAGACATACTTGAGCTCAGTGGGCATGATCTCTGCAGCGAGGTTTCCCACTGTGACAGTACTGTCACACAAGCCTCCTGCAGAGAGAGAGGGAGAGAGAGAGAGAGAGATTAAGAGTCAGCTGGTAACTGGTAAACAGCCCGATTTGCTTATTTGTCTGTTAATCTGAGAAAAAAAAAAAGAAATTACACATTCAAAGAACATTTTACATGCGTATATCTGTGCCAGTTAATTAATGGTCAGCCACCAACACACTCAGCTCCAACACTGTGAACGGTGGTGCATAAACAGTAAATGCTGCGTAGTAACAGCAAGCTAAAAGAAAAATGTAGTTTACTTATTTGTTTCTAAATTTATTGCAATTACAACTCACCAGCTCCACTGAGACACCTCTGTTGGACTTGTGCACACCTGAGCTCATCGTTTGTCTCCCGAAGCGTGTCTCTTTCTGAGATCAGACGCTACAGAACAAAGCACAATGTGACACAGGCTTTAGCTTCAATTCACACTGTTGTTTGCATGTTTAAAGAATTATGAGGGTACCAATTGCATCTATAAATTGAATCCAGCAAAATTCAAACTAAAACAAAAAGGATCGGCCACACAGCCTATCTGTTAAGGTGAATACCACATAACCTCTCTCTATGTCTATTAGTGACTGTAATAATATAAAAGACTAAAATGCCAAATGATGATTATCAAAAACAGTAATGCTCCATTTTTATAGACCAGCTGTGGTATACACATGGAAATGGACTTAACCCTTAAACCCCACGTGGTGATGAGTTCCTTGGTAAATGCACACTTCATGTCGGTACAGTATGTATTTCCTAATCACTCCCACAAGTAACCGAGGACATTAATCACTCCTGTCAGATTGCGGAAGGTGTCAGAACTGACACGGAACGTGGGAGTCCACTGAAGAATAGTACGATCTTGTCTTGTCTTGTGCATCTTGTCTAATAGTTTTAGTGTGTGACCATGATATGAGACAGATGCTCCACACTGATAAAACAATAAAAGCACTTTTGTAAGTGGCAGGTACTCATTCTTTACCCAACAAAATCCAACTGTTTTTTCCTGACAATGTTCACCAACTCACTTCTTTCTCCTTCAGCAGTGCGTCATACTTGTCGTGAAGGTTCTTGTACTCAAACTGCCATTTCTCAGCTTTCATGGCCTCTGCCGAGTGCTTGGTGTGAAGCTCATGTGCCTGCAAGTCAGGGAGCATAGCAACAGTCTACATTGGCAAGAGCTCTTTATAAAAGGTGCAAGGTTTTCCAAACACGTGCACCAGCCAGACTGTGTTTAACATCACTTAGATGTCAACACAGGAACAAGTATCACTCTCCGTCCCTCCTTTCAACCCAGAGCTTGCCTGTCTCTTATAGGTGTCCAGCTGATTACGGACAGAGTTGGCCCTGCGGAGCTCCTCTTCCAGCTCACAGGTGCGCTGCATGTACACGGTGTTGCGCTCCTCCAGGAGGCGCACCTGTCTGCGCAGGTCTCCCAGATCCTCCAGCTTCCTCTTGTACGTCTCCACCAGGGCTTCAAGTTGGTTCACCCGGTCAGACGAGTGCCTGAGGGGGAGGAGAGGACAGTGTGGGAGGCGTTGAGTACCACAGGACAGGAATACGACTTTTACACAATACATCCGTGTGGATATGTACTTAACTACTGAAACTCCAACAACTCTGACGCAAACCAGTGTCAATGCATGAAATTCATATTATCAACACAGATGTCAGAGAGGAGCTGAATGGACGTCTGTGTGTGGGCAGTGTGGGTGTTGTTTCTGCGAGTGTAAATTGATAATAGAACAACTACTGCTTAAAAGGAAAAGGCTTGTGATATTCTACATTTTTGATATTGTCCCCTTGAAAATAAAAATAAATAAACCAACAATGTGTGTGTTTGTCTCTCAATACTCTTCAACTTCCCCGTCTGTGTCTCTCAGCTCCAAGACCATTTGTTTCTACTAAAAATGTAAATCTTTAAAAAATGGGTTCAGTCTTTTATCTCTATCTGGTACTGTAGTATCCAGCAAATGTTCTCAAACACAAGGAAATAGTGCATTTGTTAGTGCTAGTGAGTATTTATGATACCAATATGATATCAATATAAACTACAGTGCCCAAGTTTATGTAATAAAAGAACACAGAGGAATATGCTACAGTAGGCTACACAGACAATGCTAGAAGGATCAATTCATTATTGGTTATGGTCTTTTTGGGGGTTTTGCTGATAGTAACAAAAATGGAGAATATCAACAGACTTTGTCAATAAAGGACTGGTAGACTGAAGTTTTATAATAATAGGCATTTAGTTGTCTTATTCACAAAAATTCCAGAAGTTGACCAATTATTGGCTCAACAATTATAGTCAGTCAATATTAACAATATGTTTCACATTGTTAACATAGGGAAAGTTTTGGCATATAAGGCACTGTTAATTCTGAATTAACTGCATTAAAAAAAAAGCAATCTTAAATGCTCTGTTAGAAAGCTACAAAAGAAACCCTCAGTATCCATTTGATTTGTGATTTGTGAGAAGGCCTGCACTACACAATAACAATAAATTCTATGCAACCGCTGGTCTCACCTGAGAATGTCCATTTCATCTTTGAGGGCCTGGGCCTCCTGCGCCAGGCTGGTCAGCTCCTCGTTACGTTGCTGCAGCTCGGTCACCTCATGCTCCAGTATCTCTCCCCGCACGCGCATGTCATCTCTGCTGTTCTCCAGTCTGAGATATACATAATACAAGAGCAGTGGTTTGTGTAACTGAGTTGACTGAGAGGACTCGACAAAGTCAACTGAACAATAGCACTGGATTTGCATGTGTACATAATGTTAACTAATATTGTATATATATATATATATATATATATATATATATATATATATATATATATTAATAAATAAATAAGACTTATGAATAGTGAATTTTCAGAATATCTCCACCACCATTTTATTGAAAGTTAAGCATATTATGTAAATGTCTTATGTAAAGGGCTGACTGTTTTCCTCAGCAACTCTAACTCTGTGTGTGTACTGCCTGTACCTGTAGTTCTCCTCTTGAAGCTGTTCCATCTGACTCTGCAGCAGCAGCAGCTTCTTGCCAGTGATGGCAGTGGTTGAGTTGTCCAGAGAGTCGAAGCGACTCAGCTTCTCCTTCAGGGAGCAAGTCTCTGCCTGTAGGGACGACTTCTCCTCCAGAGCCACCGACAACTGTGGGGGAAGAGAGAGGAAGAAAGAACAAACACTGTAAAAAGACTGGGGGATTAGGTAATGGAGTGCTGAGACAGAAGTGATGAAGATGCACAAAGTGACAAATCTACAAAAGGAAGGGAAAAGTAGAAGAGATAGAAGATGCATCAGAAGAGTCCTCAACGCTGATTTAAAGAATAACTTATCAAGAACAACTTACATCTTTCTGACAATAAACATGAGAAAGCCACAGTAGCGGAACACGACCTATTCGAATGAGTAAAACACAGATGCACAGCGACAAACTCACCACTTTTCATGCTTACAGGACCTCGAACACATGCTTTGCTCTCATTTCACATGCTCAGTCGTCGATAGTTAGTCATCTGATGTGCAATGGTCACAGGCAGAAGGAACTTTCACAATAGTGAAATTGTTAGCTTTAGCCTCAGGGTCAAAACCTTGATATAAATAGATTAATGTGCAAAACTCGTTGAGGACCATTATTGCTATTGGTTATACAGTTTTAGTACAGGGGGGGGGAGAATGTAACTTCAGGCCGATGAAGTTGGTGGGACTAACTGCAGTTTAGAGTTGCAAGAATATGCTAAAAAATGTTTGAGTCAAGTTATAGTTAGACAAGCTGCCATTCCAGTATTTTTTTTAAAAAAAGGGGGGGAGTGTATACTTACCTGCTGGACATCTTTCCAGTTTGAATACAGCAAAACCCTACACTGAACTTTAAGGACAGATTGCATGCTTTAGCACAAGACCAGGAACAGTAAATAGCTTTCAAAACAACACAAATGACTAATCCCTAACGCGTGGGCTAAGTAAGTAAACAAACAGGTGGGCTGAGAGCAGCACAAATTATTGTTGGCTACTGCTCCATCCCAAGGCAATGTGTCAGTTTTATCTTGATGTTATGTAACTATTGACTAGAATGTATCTTTAAAAAATACTAAATTAGTCTCCTCTCAGTCAGTGGTGCAAAAACAAGCGATGGGAACACAAACAAAGTCTCAGGCAGGCTAATCAATAAGGGCCAGGGCACAAAAGCAGCAGGCGCACACATTCAACAACATGCTACAATCACACTACAGCAAAACTTGGCCTCAAAGTATCTGAAAGTCAAGTACATAACGTGTGAAATGGTTTTATATTACTCCAAAACAACAAAATAGTGTGCCTTGTGTAACTGCAAGATAAAATGAACCCAGGCCCCAAAATGCCATCTTCAAAATCAAATCTATTTTTGATACCATTCATAGTCAGCAGTTTTAAAGCAAAAGCAATTCAATTTACATTCTGTAATTACCTCTCTTTATAGTTGCTAGTGGCGGAGTCAGCCATTTGCGCTAAATTGAAACTGCCTACCTACACTCAAGGGATTCACAGGAAACAATTCAGCATGTAATACAGAGAGATACTGTTTGTAATGTTATCTCAACGATAACAAACTCACTGCTTACGTTTCTTACTGTTGCTGCTTCACATTAAGAAGAATTCCAACTTGTGAAATATTGGGGTGGATTTTATTGTGAAACAATTACAGGAAACGCGATTTAGTTTTTCACTGTGGTTGGCGCCGTCGTTCATCTACAAAAGATGAGTCTACAAAACAAGACTAACAGAAATTGCACACCTACAACTTCTCAGCAAGTTAACCAACTGTCCTGTGACCTGCTGTTGTGTTGTGTGGAAAACCACTCTTGCAATCTTTCACCTATGAGAGTTTGTTTGGCTGCACTGTAAACAAATACACCAGTTGCTCAATATTGTCTCTCTGTTAAAGGAGAATTCTGGGTCCTGTAGTAAGAAAATGCACTTGATGTTACCACCAATTACCACATGTGTAACCAAATCAACCAGGACTACAATCTTAAAGATTCAAACTTTAAGGTCTTGAGAAATGTTTGTGAAGTAAGATGTAGGCCTCATTTGGTGTACCAACCTGATGTTCCAGGTCTCGACAGCGCTGGTTCAGGTCCTCTTTCTCGTCTGCCTCCTCACTTAGAAAATAATACTTCCTGGACTGCAAACACAGAACCAATGGAGACAGAGGAAGATGTAATTCTAGTCACAGTAGGAGGGAGTAAACTTTAATGAAAGACAAAAGGAAGATGTAACAGATCTGCTGAGCGAATAACACAAAAGCAGAATAAAAGTGTGGCGGGTTTCACCTGGTAGTCAAAGTCCCCATAGGTCTCTGGGCTTCCCGGTTCAGATGAAGGCTCCTTTGATAAGAGCTAATACAAAGCAGTCATAAGAAAGTTAATGAAAGGCTTAAATTCTGGGAAAGAAAAAAGAACCTGTGCCCAAAAGCAGGTATTTTTTCTCAATAACTTTGGTAAATCCTGGAACAGGTTTTTGTTTTCCCACATTCAACATTTTTCCCATCCAATGGGTGCCAATAAGACACAAAAACATATTCTTGAAATATCTCAGAGTAGGGTTTCTGGGACTCTGTTCAGTCTTATGCTTATCCGGATTTCTTTGATTGCGAATTAACCATGACTAAGAGCTGGGATTAATGCAAAGTAGAGAGAACCAGGAGGATAAGCGAAGAGGCTCACTCACCTCCTGAATGGCTGTCATCACAACGTGCTGGACGGATTCCTCAAGTGTCATTATCTGCTGGATTTGCTCTGTGTTTAGGGAAAGACGACACAGCCAAATGCAGATGAACACAAATACTCTCCTAAAACCAGACCAGCACTGCATCTACCAACATTTGTTTGTTTGAGTCTACCAAGACTCGTACAGCTAATGTCTAAATGCCAAATGATCAGTTTTTCTTCTTGTAATCTTGTAATCTGTAAAATGGTCTTTAGTGTGAGGGGAAAAGCACAAGGTCATCTTATCAACTTGAGATGATCATGCACTGACTGACAGAACATGTGATTCGACTTTGAGTTAATCCTGTGTGTTATTTTCACAGATGGCTGCATTTCTTTTCTTTTCAAGCACAGTTTACCTTGTTTCTTCTCACAACTGACAGCACAGCCCAATACGAGCTGTACCAGCTTGCCCAGTTCAGTGACATCGCCCATCTCTCCTATGAGGTTCACGTCTGGCAGGTGCTCATCTGATACCGGGTGACCGAGCACCTGTTCATGGAAAGAAGACATTAAGATTCAGCTTCGAGCAAATGTAAAAGTGTACTGGAAGTGGCAAAGTTAGTAAAAAACAATCTTAATAATAATAATAATAATAATAATAAAGATCTTACATCGTGATAATACTCCAGCATGCTCTTAAGAATCTTTTTCAAGTTGCTGACCTGAAAGAACAAAAAAGAAACCAGAGATAAATTCTCGATGCTCATTTTAATCAGGGAAAAAGAAGTAAAAAAACAACCCAGACATCTTGGTCATTCTAGGTTGCCATGGGGTATTCTGTCATATCCTGCCATTTCACAAATTACCTTGAGGCGCCAGTTGGCCCCGCTCTCCTCCTTGATCCTGCCGAGCCATGTCTCATTAAACCAAGAGGGGTCTCTGTTAATGAGAGCACAAGAGAACTCGAGTGACAACGAGGACGACACATCTCTGGACATCAAGAATCACAGGAGGCCACAGGGCAACGAGGCCCTGAGCTTCTCTTCTGCTAAGCACAATGACATTTGAGTAGAACAGTTCGTTCAAGTCATGAAATGGTTCAAGAAGCAGAATTGGGTTCTAAGTGACCTTAAAAATAAGCCTTTGCTTTGATTGAAAAACTGTTGTTGTCTATTTACCTGTGGGGGCCTGAACACAAATATCCCACCACCACAAGCTACAAAAGGTCATCAGGCCTGGACCGAATAGTCACATCACACCCACGTTTCTGAGTTGACCTCACAAATCCAGATCATTCTTTACATGGTTTAAACTTTTGCATAGATAACGGCCATGTGCAATTCAAAGGGCCATTTAGTGCAAAATCACACAGATAAGCAAATCTCACGAACTGTGCACTTACAAACTCGAAGCAACACAATAACCACTAAATACTTGTGCAGATGTGTACCCTTACATTCTGTGCAGCACATGTGCAATGGCCACGCCGCTTGTTAGGTCTTGCTTGCTGTTGCATGACGGCACCTGAAATGTCTGTAACTGAGAATAAAGACATCAAGAATTAGTCACTGACCTTTAAAAAAGCTTTAACATTTGATGCACAGACAGATTTTGTTTAACTTCTACACTAAACTGAACCAGACTCATAGGTCTTTAACCTATTAATGTCTATAATCAGCTTTAATGTCACTAAAAAGCTACTTGCAGGAAAACATATTATAGTGGGCTGAATATTACCAAACCACTGACAAGTAATGCGGCTAAATAAACCTTTCAGTCTTTGCAAACACTACATAAATGACAAATCTTAAGCAGTTCTTATAGAGGATTACAGCTCTACTTAGCAAGCTGTTAATATGAGCTGGTTTCTTAGTTTAGTCCTACACTGGCCCCCGTATGGAAAAGAGCCAAACAGGTGGATTTTCCCTGGGACTTGAGAAGTCACTATGTTGTTACTCTCTCTCTCTCTCTCTCTCTCTCTCTCTCTCTCTCTCTCTCTCTCTCTCTCTCTCAGCTTACACTCAGCTACTTGGGTTTGCGTTTCTCTGGCAGCCACCGTTTTGCTGACACCGCAGTCAGCTTGACAACAAGGTAGAAAAGACCACCAGGGGAAAACTTCCAGTGTGTTTACCTAGCTAGCTGGTTAGCTTGGCTAGCTAGCGACAAGCTAGCTTCCCCACACACAACTTTGATACCTGCGAGCTGCTCCACGTTAACAGACTTGTAGTCAACAAAGACGCGCATTTATCGACCGCGCTAGGCCTCCATTCACTTACTAAAGGATGTTTTTTTTACCCCTCTCTAACTTCGCCGACACCTGCTGTCACCTGTTAGCCCGGCTGTGTTAGCCCGGCTAGGAACCCGGGCTAAAGTCAAACTTACCCAGGTTAACAGAGAATCACACAGCTGTGCTTTATCCAGACTCATTGTGCTGCGTCCGGGCTAACTAACTGCAGCTCACTCACACACGATCGATTTCTCTCTCAAGACTTTTTCTCCCCTGAAGTTTGTCCCTCAGTGCTGACACTCTCCACGTCAGTCACCGTCCAGCCATGGCCTCCCGCTGCTCCTACCACCTCCTCCCCCCCTTTTTTTGCGTTTCAGCTCCTGTTATCCAAGCGAGCTTCCGTATTAAGAACGTTCCCATGGTAACGGATTATGTTGCGGGTCAGCTTGTCTGGTCGTCGTTAATAATGATACTACAACTAATAATCATAACAACAACACCTAATAATAATACTTATAATAATAATAATTATATATATTTGGTCTTTTAAGCTCTCTGGCTAAATGTTGGCGACTAACATTGAATTTGATACATTTATTATTTATTTATAAAAAATATCTATAAAGCAGGGTTGAGGGGATTACTTTAGAAATGTAATCCGATACAATTACTAATTGCCTATTAAAAAATGTGGTCAATAACCTAATCCAGGTATCATAATGGTAAAGTAACGTAACTTGATTACTTTCCATTGCTTTTGGATTGCCCCGACACCAAATATACAAAAGACAAGATAAAAAAAAACACAATAAGAAGTATTTATTAAAGTGTATTCTATAAAACAACAGAACATTGTAACCTTGGAAAAGAAAATCTGGAAACCAAGATTTGTAGCATTAAACGTGTGTCCCATGCTCAGTGTATGTTTAAAGAAAAACTGATGTATTTTAAATTTGTAATCCTACTAAATAACAGTTACTAAAAACGTAATCTGATTATGTCTTTTTTCTGTAACTGTAATGGATTACAGTAACCTTTATTTTGTATCCTGATTACATAACTTAGTTACATGTAATCTGTTATTCCACAACCTTGCTAGATAGACAGAAATAACAATAAGTTACAGACAAACACAAAAATCTCCCAAACATTAAAAAGGAATGCCACAACATAATCAGAGGTAACAACAACATTTTCAAATGAGACTAGTACACCACAAATACCAACCAAAGCACCAGCAGGGACCAGTTTTTACCTAAGACAAGACAAATGGAAAAATGGAAATGGAAAATGGAAATATACCAAAACTAGTGCCTATATTTTAAAGGGAGAAATGTGTTTTGTGTTTTGATTAATAACTGATTATTTCCCACAAAGTATTTGCCACCTTCTCACCTAAGTAGAATAAAGGAAAAGTTATATGCTGCTGTTCATTTTGTGTTGTTTTTTATGTAAGGAAGCAGAGAATGGTGACCAATACCTCTACTGAGGACCTTGTTGTTTTCTTTTAACTGTATTCAAAGTTCCTTAAAGCACCACTGGATGGCTCTAGTTAACAAACAGCTACAGAAAACGTGTTGATGCGCCACTGGCTGCCCCAGTGTAAGCTACACTGCCCATGACAGGTGTTTTGTAAAATCTTTCTAATAAGACATGTTGTCTGAGTGGCCAAAATGTTGAAACAGATCAACTCTTTAGTGTACAATTGGCATTTTGTAATTTAATATGTGACACCCTCTGTGATATAATGATCCAGTTAGTCTTTTTTCTTGGACCCAGATTGTCTTGAGCATTATCAAATGGCCTCACACTGACCAGTTCACACTGTTTTGTGATTCACAGGTTTGAAAAACCTTAGCAGGTTTCTGTCAGAAGGCCTCTCTTTCATATTATTAACATGCTGTCACACACGTAGTCCCTTTTCTCTGTAATCTGCATATCTCCCAGTCCACACGTCTCTTTCCTGTCACAGTCACAAATCAAACTATAACAACCAATCACAAAAACACTGCCCACTGCTTCCTGTTTGCTTTGGCAAACCAAACTAGTGACTGTGAACCACAGTCCAGTGTGCTCATTGAACACCTGCATGAGATGAAATATCTGCTAGTCTTCCGGTCCTTCCCATTCAAAACCAGTCTGGTCACAACACCCTCTTACATCTGGCTTTACCATATTTGTCTGGCCAGAGTTCCTGTTTTTCTAGATGGTTTTCTGCCAGAGGAATGCACATGTTTACCCGCTCTCCTCCCCAAGTCATAACTCACCTACACTAACTCCTGTTATCGCTCTCTAGTTAATGATGGTTGGACTTTGATTATGTTTTTTTTTTTATTACATTCAACTGTTTGTACATGTCTCTCTTGTTCTGATACCACCACCCAGATGAGGTTAAATTGGCATGTCCAGTCCTATAAGAGCCCAGACAGGGGCTCTCAAGTTGTGTAACCCCGAACTGAATTAAGACACCTGGGAGGAAGTGAGGTTCATGACTCGGATCGGGGCTCAGCAGAGAAGTTAGTCACCCGCTGAGGGATAGGTCAGGGCTGACTAATGCTTGAGTGGAAGGAGGTGTGGTACAGGGGCTCTGGCTCGAGCGGGGGCTGACTATTTTTGGACAGCTCCTCTTCCTCCACACTAATTCCTCTTTTCACCCGTTCTCTCTTTCCTTATTCCCCAGATGTGTTTCCTTCCTGAAAGTCAAAAGGCTTTACTTCTCCTCTTTTCCAACCCCACACTGACGCACTTGCATCCCTCTTGGGGGAACTAGAAGGGTGGAGGTGGGAGGGCCGGCAGCTAAGATTGAGTAATTATTCCTTTTTTTGAAGCTTGTGGTTTTCTTGTTTGGAAAAAAAATGAGGATACTTCCTTATTTTTGAAATTCTTTGAGTGCAAAGTGCAAACTATCTGCTGCATCTTACACTTGTAGTTTTGTGAAATTATTCTGACTAGTAGATACACATTTTTAGAAATATTTTTTTTACAAAATACTTCACTCAGATATGTTTTTTGCTTATTGTTCACTTTGGTGTTTAAGCTTCACTGTGCAGAATGACATCTGTGCAGTTTTTAGGTTGTTTTCACATTCAGCTGTTGGAGGAGGGAAGTTACTAAACCTCAGTTTAAAATGTGCATACGAGCATCATTTTATTACATCAAAACTAGTTTGGAAGTCAATCATGATCCAATACTTCAACTTGATCAAGGTTTATGTTGTTTGTCTTATGTTGACATTAAATAGGACTAAATAACAATCAAAAAATCATATTTCATATTTTTAGGCAATATTTAGGCCCAAGAATTTAGTCAAATTGAACTGAAATGTTGAATTCAAATCTTGAATCCTGGAGCACAAGACCCTACGTGACATAGAGAGCACAGAGAAAAGCAGAAATGCAGAAAATGTGAAACAACTAAAAGTGTTATAACTTTGGCAGAAAATAGTGTGTTAATGTAGAATCACTTCTAGTAAGAAGTTGAGTTTTCGGGACCTTTTTGAATTCCAAATTGAAAAACCATATCAGACAGAAATTATTCTACCAAGCAGAGCATTTTCATATGCCTCAAAACATGTCTGAAAGGGGAAGTACTTTTGTCCTCTATGTCCTAATTTTCAGGTCACAGTTCAACAATAAAGTTCACCAACCAACTGTAAAAACCTAATGCCTCAAAAGGTCCCCACATGCCTGCATTCAAATGAATGCTGTGGTGTGGAGAGACAAAGAAATACTGCACCTTTAAATGAAAGAATGCCAACAATGTGCGGCTGTGCCCAGGCATTTGGAGCTGGAATGTGTTGGAAAGCTGGCAGTGGTTTATTTTCCCCTGCAGCTTTCCCAGGTGTTACAGCAAAAGGAAAACAACAAAACCACGGAACAGAGATGGACAGGACATGAATAAAAGAAGAGGGCGTGTAGTTGTAGGTGACAAACACCCGGGAGTCTGATCAGAAAGCCCCTTTCTAGACATGAGGTCACCCATATGGGTACGTGCTGTCAAGACATGTAAACCAGAGGAGGGAAAAAGTGAGATTCACGGCCCTGCCTCCTCCCTCGCTCTGGAACCACAGCCTTTATTAAGGGCAAGCAGTCAATAATAACCTCACCTCTAGGACCTGCCAGGGAGTGTCCATTTTGAAATACAGGCATGTGAGTACACACAGGTTGTTGACCCATAGAAAGGGTGTCTGCCTCTAAAAACTAGTTCTGAAATCCCAGTTGAATTATTATAGCACGTGTTGAACACATTTCTCCAGCAGAATATACAGCCAGTTAGTATGGCTCCTCTTGGTGACTCAGTGATTGTCTGTGACACTTAAGAACAGCAAAGTTCTACTCATGTTATGTAACAGGCACTGAGTGACCCTCATACTTATTGATCTAAATCTTAACATGACTCATGGCAGCAGCAGCAGAAACTGCAGCAGTCAAACCCTTCTCTGTTCTTTTCAGGCTTGACCCACTGAAACATCAAACCAGAAGCCCAGGAGGAAGAGGAGGAGGAGGAGGGATCAGCTGTGATGTGGGAGCAGGCACCCCCAACACAATCCATCATTGTTATCTGCAAAACAGGTGTGCTCTGTTTGCTTTTACTTTCACTGCACAATTAAGTTTTGATTTACTCCTTGTTTGTGTTTTTGATACGCCCTCTCTCTCTCTCTCTTTCTCTCTCTCCCTCTCTCCATGTCCCGCTTTCTGTTTCGATGCCTCACCCTCCCTATCTCCCTCCCTTGCACACACAAACAGGCAGCACATGGCCAGCGCAAGTGAGTCAGAGTGGTCTGGTAACGAGTGCCTCTTCACAGGGAGAGTCCCTCCATGTGTCCTTGTGATTAGGGCCAATCCCCTTCAGTGAATCAGGTGCACTATTCCTCTAGGCAACGTGAGACTCGTTGGTTCATTTGTCTCCAGGTCCACAATAAATATTAGCTCATGTCAGATAATACCAACTCCTTAAAGGTTTTCATCTTAAACTTCACGAAAACCAACAGATTGCAGTTGTAGTTTCATTTCTGTTGTTTTGACACAGTTTTGACATGAGACTTGTGTATCTAAAAATAAAAATATTGTGTAAGTTGTATTCTAGGAGACATTGGAGCTCTGGAGGATGCAATTACTTGGATATCTCTCTGACATGGGCTCACAGACAGTATGTAGAGAGGGTCGACCTGCCCAGAAGCAACAAGCGCTGTGCCTGCTACACACAATATGATGAGATAGACAGTTGACAAATTAAATTAAAACATTTATATGACTATCAAAAAGTCAAGGTTAGATTTCTTACATAGATTACAAAATCACTTAGGACACATTTAAGGACCAATGTGAAGGATTTAGTGGCACCTAGTGGTGAAGTTTCAGACTGAACACCAAAAACTAACTGAACACCACTCACATCAGTAACTGACGACCTGGAAATGATAACGGGCTTTGAAGTGTGTAAGAGAAACTACACTGGTCGTAAACTCGTAAAACTAGAGCCAGAGTTTGGTTTGTCCATAAAGGGCTACTGTGGAAACATGGTGGTTCAACATGGTGGGCTCCGTAGAAGAAGACCATTTAAAGTAACGTAATGATTCTTATATTCAGGTGATTACACACTAATGAAAACATACCTATGAATATTATATTCCATTTCTGCCGATACAGCCTCATAAATGTTGCAAACTGAACCTTTAATGCATGAACACATATTGGTTGTAGCTATTTCACTAGCTATAGTTTTGCTTTTTAAATGCTAATCTCAGCATAATAGATATATAATAAAAACTAGATGGATAGTATCCTATAATAGCCTATTCAGTCCAATGCAAATTGCTCGCCTGACACATTCACCCAAATTTTTCTAGCTTATGCAGCCCACTGAATATGCGCAGTAGTGTTTCTCCTGGTGGTCCTGATCGCACATTCCCCTTTGGCCCATAGACTTTACATTGTGATGACATCATGGATTTTGCTTTTCTCAACTCGAGAAAAGTTTTACGAATATTAAACCTCCATGGATCAAAAATTCATAAGATAAAGAGTCATAACTGACCTTGTTTGAGGAGTCCTGTCAGTTTTACAGACATCTCTTTTATAACAGTGGTCTTTGAGGATTACTGCTGAGCAGCACTGCCCGATCCAGTTGTATGATGTATCTGCGATCAGCATGCTCACATGTTGACAATGACAAAGCTAACATGACGAAAATGTTTTCCTATCTGTCTTAGTTGAGTGTGTTAGCATGCTAATATTTGGTACTAAACACAAGGTACAACTGAGGCTGATGAAAATAGTTTTGCAGGTATTTAGTCATAAACCAAAGTATTGGACACATTTAAATTTGTTCATCTTGCAGGGTACATCAATGTCTGTATCAAATCTTATGGGAATAGTTGAGACCTTTCACTCAAAGCCACAAATGTGAACCTTGTGGTGGAGCTACAGGAAAAAGTGAAGGGATCAACAAAGTCAGTAGAATTAATCCTCTGGGTACCATGAATGTCTGTACCAAATTTTGAGCCAATATACATAATAGGTGTCATCATATTTTACAAATAAGCCACAAAAAAGTGTCAAACTTCTGCCGGCACAAGAAGTAAGAACAAAAGTCAGTGGGATTAATTCTGGTGTCTGTACAAAATGTCATAACAATCCATCCATAGAGATAGCATGGTTGAAAATAAATGATATGACAATGCTATTTACTGTAATGAAACATCATTTATTTAAACACAGAAAGGTTATTTAGAATAATTAGGTATGAAGTATTACATTTACAAATAGCTATGGATTGTTAAAAGCTGGATTCCTTCTCCAAATTGAGGGTCTATATTGTGAAATAAACTTGCATTTTCCACTGGAAGAACTTCTGCTTTACTCATTTATTATACACCAGTTGTTTATACTGTATTAGGCCTGCTAATATGTGTTTGTTTTTTTTATTGCCATATAACAGAAGCAGATCATATTGCTGTCATCAGTATATAATATCTGCAAATATCACCTCTTTAAGTGTGGCTTAAAGCAGTTTGAATATGGTATTATTTAGTGGTCATGAATGCAATAATTAGCGTGGAGACCTAATAACAGGTTTGTGGCATAGTGCTTAAGCCTGCTCCTCCTCGCACATGTTCACAAACCAGCAAACACACCTCATACACCCACGATCAACTGCAACAATAGCGGAACGTGCAGTACGCTCCACCTCGTGGACACAAGCCAGGTATAGCTTTCCTCCACCCTGTTTGCCTTTTCAGATACAGTCCACACACCCATAACCAGAATATTGTCTCCTGCTGCATGTGTAACAGGACTCGGTGGCGTGGTCTTACTGGTGGTGGCTGACCGGATTGACGCTGACAGGGTGTGTGGTTAACAAGAATGGACCTGCTAGAGGGCCTGTTATCCCAGTAAATTGAGCCATCAGTGTCAAAATTGCAGAAAATGAGTGAAGGCTAATGGAGTCGTAACTGTAAGGTTTCTCTGCCTGTGTGTTGATCTGTGGATGTGAGTACTGTGTAGGGTTAAAGATATAGGTCTACACAATTTCAAGTCCCGTCTTAAAACAAAACCTACATGCCCATTTGTATGTGGAAAGAGTATTGGGTCCCTGCTTTTGTTCCTTCTCTCCCTACTGGCCCTGAAAAATCTGTTTCTAATGCAAAATCCACAGTCCTCCTTCTGTGTTATCAGTCTGAATGAGAAAAACCTCAGAGTCTTTAGTTTTGGAATCATGTTAGGAAAGTATTTCTTTATAGCCAGTATGACATTAGGAATGCTCACAGTAATCAGAAAGTCTTTCAGTGCAGATTTGCACATGCAAGTGTTTCAGACACGTGAAAGAATGTGAACCTAATCTTTAATAGCCACCAGACGCCACCGTTCTTGACCGTTTGCTGGGTGTGATACTAGAGTCTAATGAGTTGTCAACACATGCCAAAAAAGTCAACCACACCTTCAACCTTGCACAACTTCCCTATTCTTCTGGTCCGCGTACTCTCAAACACACCCAAACAATCTTCGCCCTTTAGTCCCTCGCTCAGTCTTCTGCAGTCAGCCCAGCTTAATTGATGCCCTTCCCTAACAGCCTAAATTACACAGCTGGGCTTTGAGGGCAGAGAGTGGGTTGTCAACAAGTGTGGCCTGAGTGAAGCCACGGCCCTTCACCCAGAGTGACACTCCACCTGACTCAGCAGCACACAGGCACTGTTTACTGGACCTGTCCACCGCAATCAACACGCCTGCATCTGTCCTGACTGTAATTCTACTGTTAACCTCAACTCTGCCAAGAGAGGAGAGACTCGGGCAGGGGGAGGCTCATCTCCTTCCCTCCCTCCCTCCCTCCCTCCTTCTTTTGTCCTTCCTCATCCACATCAGAGTGCATCCAGTCAGACACGCAAGCAGCACATTAGGCCCACACACACACACACACACACACACACACACACACACACACACACACACACAGGCACCCACAGGAAGCATCTGCATAAATTAGAGAATGTTAAATTGAATTGCATTTCATTTCACTGGCTGCACATAATGCACATCAAATCAAATTAAAATTCAATATTCCAATTACAGACAAAGTTAAAATGAAAATGAAAGATGTATTTAGGGCTGAATATATTTCACAGTGTTACAAAGCAGAAAAATAAAACTGAGTGCACACATTTGCATTTATATTTTCTTACTGTGTTTGCATGGTTTAGGCAAACATACTCTGCACTATATGTTTTATTTATTTTGTATTTAGAATAACTGCCTTCTTACTGTCTATATGATTATATGCATGCATGCAATCTGCTGGTTGCCCACTTGTTGCTCCCCCATCTGTCTTTAGCACTGTCAGCATAAAGCTAGTGTGGACTGTCTAACTGAGACTGATGCATTCAGACATCCCCCTATAGTGACTGATCTGGACACAGGTAAACTAACTGTCCCCTCGGCTCCTCAGCAGTGATGGAAGGGCTGCTCTGCTGACTGACACGCCATGAGACACAATGAGCTGATGACCTGTAAGAGTGAAAGCTGCTGACACCACATGTTGTCTCATTTCTTAAGAATCCATCATCCAGCGTAAAGCTACGTTGAGCTTGTCTTTGTCTCTGATCTCTGTTTAGCAAAAACCCAGCCGGTGATGGAAAAGCTGAGTCGGACTTTGAGCCAAAATTCAAAGCCTCTCTGAAGTAGCGATGGCTATCACAAGGTCAACACACATTAAAAGGTATGTAGCTGTCACACACTGCTGCTACAAAGGGATATATACACAAAGATGAAGTGATAGCACCTGTGGTTTGGAGATAATTACAGGAGAGTGAATAGAGGTTCAGTTTAAAAGGTGTTTGAAAAGGGAGTTGTCATATAGGATTAGAGCCTTGTTGAAGCGATAACTCCCATGACCTTTCAACTCTGTAGGGTCAGCCAGAAGTCCCCCCAGCACAGGGCCTGCAGCACTGCTCTCCCTAACCACAGAAAGCCAGATGAGATCACTCCCACTCTCAGTTACACCTCTGTTACTGTTATCTGTGGGTGACTTTCCTAATAATCCTGGACTTGTGAGAAGTTCAAAAGTTTAGTATAAAAGTCAAAGATTTATTCCAGTTTGTAATACAAAACCTTTTTTTTCTATGCATAAAGGAATCGAAATTGTTTTTTTATTGCATTGACTGCTAAGTTCTGCTAAATTATTAATGTGTATCATCAGTTTCTGGTTATACAAGTGTTCATTATTAAATGATTAAAACTCTTGATTTCCCTTTTTAACAAGCTGGTTTTCAATTTAAATGTGCATTTTCCCTCCTTTTCACTTTTCCTAATGATTTTATTTGATACCGTAAACAAGGTTACACATGCCAATTACCAAGCTAGCGAACTAGCGAGGCTGGGTTTACTCAGCATCAAAGTGAAGTGTTAGTGGTGTGACCACAGAGAACGTCTGTTTCTTTTTGTTCTTGAGAGTTGTCTGTCCTTCTCTGAGGAACATCTTTAGACTCTCTTGACTTGAGTAATAATTTAAGCTCACAACCCCGCCCAGCTAGTTTGGCAGCTAGATAGCTAGCATGTACAGCCTTGTTAGGCCAAAAGGAAAAGATTATTTTATGTGTCTTTGTAGGAGCTAGTTAGTTGACTTTGACATTGTTGCTGCAAGAGGCAAGAGCTAACTTGTACTGGCTAAATCTAGTGCTTAAGAGGCAGGAGACTGATTGGCTGAAAGGTGAGAGGGTGGAGACGACGCATGGTCATGAAAAGTGACATTATGAAAATAAAAAGTTATATTAAATAAATGATGTTACTGAATAAAAAACAGACTACTGAACACCTTAAAATCTGCTGGTTCAACATAAAGCCAAGACCCACCCTGACATCATTATGACATCACATGAAACGGCTGCTCAGCTGCTTAAATGTACAGAGGTCAAAGGTCATTGGGAGTAAGTGGATGGCCAGAGCAAGATCAAGATATTTATGCAACCACTTGTTATCACGTGACTGACACTCCACACTCGGGCTACATCACCTGGGCCAGTTTCATTTGCTGAAGAAGACCATGAGCTGAGGTTCACAAAGCTAGAAAGGGGACCTTGAGTTGACATTATTTGGTCACATACTATATGAACATTATAAACTGCACACAGGTCTACTTTGGATTACATTACATTGCTGAGGTGTTTCTTGTATTGTGTCCCAATCTGGCACACAGCATACAAACTACTTACATGTAGGTTAAATGCCATAAAAGCCACATTTAACTACTTTGTCAGTAGCTTGTTTGTGCCCTTAGGGCTCCTGGAATATCTTTCAATAGTACACAGGCCAAAAAATAAACAGCTTATGAAATTCTTCAAGTGGCTTAAAACAGTGTATATTAAAATCTCTTTAGGAAACATAAAACTAAGCGGCTCATTTGAATTGATCCTCTAATCCCTTTCAGATTAACAGAGAATTAATTTGGAAGTTGGCAAATCCCAGCCTCACCACTGAAATGACTGGTATAAAAGATCTGGTTATGATGCAGAACAAAGGCTTATCTGTTTCACAAGTGAGTACTCCATCTATTCATGCCCTCCCCCACACTGCTAACAAACTTTCAAATGTCCGCCTCACATAATTAAACCCGTTTGGCCCCCACGGAGAGGGATAAAACAATCCCACAGACAAACATTAACCCAGGGCCTGACCCTGTAGCTTGTCAAGAAGATGAACGTCTGAGACTGGAGGAAAAAAAAAAAAACAGCATTCCACTTCCCGTAAACCAGTAAGGGGGAGGGAGGGGGATTTTGGGAAGTTTGGTGAGTCATCACTTTTTCTTTTCTACCGGCGCTCCCCCCTTTGGCATCGCAACGCGGAGCCTGAATACCTTCACGGCAGATTGCCCTGTCATGCCTTCAATAGGCCCTCTTAAGATCTGACAAGTGTCTCATATTGAGCGTTGCTGCCAGAGTCGCAGCTGTCTGCGCGGCTGTCACCGTCATAAGCCGTCTTTGTTGGTGCACACTTTGAAACCTGAGGAGAGATAACAAGTTAAGACTTACAGCATGAATAAAAAATAAGCATGCAATGACATGAACCGCTGTGGCTCAAAGCCTCAGTTTGTCACTCAGGTTTGTTCTTGTGAGTGTGCATGTGTTAAACAGTTTCTGTGATCAGGTCAAATACAGTGGGTGAGATGAGTCAGTGGATATCTGCTACCATGCTGAGAATTTATTACTCGCTAACTTCATCTTCTGTGACAATAACATGCTGACGAAGGCTTGTAAAATGATGACAGGGCTCAAATATAGGAGCTTTTACAGCAGTTTTAGGAGCACCCCATAATGGAAAGTGCTTAAATTCTCATAGAGAAAAAAACCACACATTTTATTGCTCCACTTTCTTCTTCTATTTTTATGTCAGCTCTTTTGTGTGACCACTCATTCGTCCTTAAGGCATCCTGTTCCACTAACTGATCATGGACATCATTTTGCGGTTAGGGACTCTCCCCAGAGGGCCCCCTCCTGCACGCCGCACAATAACACCCTCAAACCTTCTATTAGGGGCCATTTAGCTCCTGGGGCCAGAGCCTCTCTCTCTCTCCACTGTTCAGTGCTACACACACAGGATATTTATCACTCTTTAATGACAGACTCCATAAAGGATGATGTCACCGGCCGCAACACAACAACGTACAACAAAAGGGCGGCCGTCCCTCTCTACTCTCAGTCCGACCACGGTGACCTCACTTGAGTGGTGGGCCTCAGTCTTGTTGGGCTCTTTGTGCCAGTGTGGCCGTCGTGGTATGTGGCACATGAGGCCCCAGTGCTGCTGCTGCTGCTGCTGCTGCTGACTAAGAGTGAGTAATCAAAACAGTCGCAGAAACGGGCCTGCTTCACAAAGATGGTTGTTACCATTAAAATGTCATCGAGCACTTGATATAAGGCAGTGTTTTGCTCTTGTGGACAAGCGTCTCTCGCCTTTGTCAGCTGTGGCAGACTGTCGGCCTGTTTGTGTTGTGTCTGTTGTGTCTTAGTTAAAAGCAGTACATGCAAACAGTGAAATATGCGTGTGTGTATGTGTGTGTGTGCTCCATGTAGGCTAGTTTGGATGTGACATATAGGCCTTATTGGCTTTGTGTCACCTGTCAGGCTCCATTTGGAAAAGTGCCAGTTGTTGTCGGGAGACGTTCGTCCATCATCAGTCATAAACACGCATTGTATTCACAACAACAGCTTGCGCGGTGCCCCTGTTTTACCTCCCCTTCCAGTGTATGTGCTTAATTGATTTTACAATAAACAGACATTAAAAAATCCCCTTTTGAACACAAATCTAATCTTAAATATCACTGAAAGTGAAAAATGAGATTTATTTCAGTGGAAAATTCTAAAAATAACTTTCTTTCGCTTTCTATGTCTGTCTCTAGTCCACACAGGCCCGTTACCGCACACACATACACAAACACACACACACACTTATGTGCACACATTAAAAAGCCTGTATTAAGTTAAGAGCACGAATCATGTCCCACAGCAATTACACACAAGCTTCTTTCAGTTTCCAGTAAAGGTAAATAACTTCAACAGCATTTCTCTGAATGTGTTCCCATGTGCATAAACACACATATTTAACTAATGTACTCATCAAAGACCTTCCGTTTGAAATATAAAAAAACCCCAACAACCTCTACCGTGATTTATGAAAAACAAAATCCATTACTTCTCCAAACCCCAGCTTGTGGTTTTCCTTCAAACGGGTGCTTTGCTAGCTGACTCACTGGCTGAAGTACAGCGGATTTCCACTTCCACTTTGGCCCGTTGATCTGAAATGCTACAGAAAAACAGCGAGACGGGGAAGGGGAATGGAGGGAGGAAGAGATGGAGATCTGGAAGCCATTAGAAGCTGGCAGCTGTGGTCTGGAGTGGCTGATTCAGAGAAGGAGAGAGAGGAAGAAAGAGAGAGGGAGGATACGGCACATGATTGCCATAATGAATTTAATATCTGTGCATGTGTAGGTCATTAATGCAGAGCCTTGTGATTTAGCAGCAGGGAAGATGAAGAATGTGAAAAAAATCCTTTTTCTAAAAGCAGTCGTTCCTTTTGACAGCTCCTACTGCTCCGCCTGCATTTCCGCTAGAGAGTAATAAAGTCTTATCTTGCTGTTTATCCATCCTTTCTAATCTGTTATCTATTTTTTTCATGCTTCCTTCCGCTCTTGGTAAGTGTGCAGATACCACACACACAGTCACACACACTCTGTTTCTCTCTGTCATCCACGCATCTCAGTACCATGAATCTACTTATAGAATACTTATAGAGAAATTCAACCTGGTCCAAATATAGGTAAAACTGACCGTTGGCTAAACTCCTTCCCCAAACAGCAAATTGCCCAATCACAGCTTAGCAACTGTAACTAGGCATGACAAGTCTGTGAAGCTTTAGATTTCTCCATGTGACAAAGAGCCGTGCATGTGGCTCCAGTACAAGCAATCATTTGGAGAAGAAGTGTAAGGAATATATTACACAGTGTATTTATCACTAGTGTTGCTTACAAAGGCAAGGTGAGTGCCATTATCTAACTATTATTTTACTATGTGGGGTTACAGGTTATGAAAAATAAGGACTGGAGCAATGCTTATTTGGGAGCTAAGGTGCTCGTATATCAGGGTTTAGAGTCCTGTTATAGCAACTCTGGCCAAATTTGGGTCATGTTAGCCAAACTCACTGTATAATTAAAAATGGACACAATACCCTTCTTATGCATAACATCGTCTGTATTTGATGACCTGGGAATGTGAACAGGCTGTGAAGTCTTTAGGAGAAACTATGATGGCTGTGAAACCTGCAAAAAGGTCCCATCTAGTGTTTGGTTTGTCTGGTCTGGGCTACTGTAGAAACATGGTGGTTCAACATGGCGGCCTCCACGGAAAAAACGGCTCATTGTGTACAGTAGCTAATGATTAGTTAACGATTACTTAATTAAGAAATGAGTGAGGAACAAATCAGGAACAACTTGAACTGATGAATCGTTTAGTAGTTCCCTAAAAATTCCTAATGGAGAATTATATAGTAGATAATTAAATGTTACTAGACTGTTAGATCTTATCTCAATGAATCATTAGGTAATGAATGAATGACCACTTTCTTTGTGAGTCGTTCCTGATTAACTCTGAACCAGCTGGTGGTTACTAGTCTTGAGTCTGAGATTTTTTGTTTGGGCCAATATTCTACACACTATCTATCTTCTGATGCATCCATGTGAAGTCTAGTTTGAAGTTAGGGTCAGACAGAGGAAGTGGGAAGGGTTTGCCATAAACAGAAACCAGTCAGATTCCACAGGAGTGATTCCAATTCTCCCATATCCTGTTCAGAAAGTCCATAGAGAGGCTGCTCGTAAGAGAGGGACCTAAAGTGGGTCTCTGGGTTTTCACCCATGACTCATCCCCACGAATCACAAGGATACACAACACACGACTCATCCATGGCTCAATCACACACTCTGACATATGCAAATACTGATGAATGTCATACACAGGTATACAAACACACACAAAATATGGATGTAAATATTCATGGTTTTGTTTTGAGTGATGGCAGCTTTTGGCATCGAGAGCAGTAGCGTTCAGTGATTGACAACCATGTGAGGGCGAAAATATTACTTACCCTGATGCTCCACGGGGGATTTCTCCCTCTGTCACTGGCCTGCCCTGATAATTCCACAACATCACAAACACACACACAAGCCAGATACATAAATCCATACGAACACAGATAAAGTTTGTTTGAGAATGCTGATTTAATCGCTATTTTCGTGTTATGTCGTCTTGGTTAACCACTTCAACTTTATGGTGAACCGTGAGCAGCAGTGTAGTGTAGTGTGAATAGTGAATATGATTAATAAAACACTCTCTTTAACTCATTATCTGCTGTCAGAGGGGATAAAGGACCTGGCATCATCTCCTTTGCGGTTAAGGGGCCTAATTCTGAGCATCATTGTTCAGTGAAACATGAAACAACATTGGTTGGGTCTGTCCCTGTGGCTGTAACTAGATTTCATATCCTCACTCCAAAATTGGACCCTTTCTGCATGGTTGATTTTCAGTTGCACTCATCAGTTGCATCAAGAGCTTCTCCCTCCTCACCTCTTCGCTCATCTCCTCACCCCCCCCCGTGTTGTTATTCTCCTTCCTTCTAACATCTCCGGTGGTCTGACATCATCACTGCGTTGGTCTGACACCCGTGTGGTCCTCTAGGTCAACAGGGGGAACGCAGACATTAACCGGGTCAGAGAACACACACACACACACACACAGAAAGAGAAAGAGAAAGGGGGATTCACCTGGTAAGAGTAACTTTGATGGTTGAGAAGAATAGTCCTGCTTGTAAGACCCCTCACAGAATACAATGATGATTCAGAATCATAGTGGTAGTGGTAGTATAGATACAAACACTTGTGTGTACTGAACATTACTGCCTACAAAGCATCACAAGTTTCTATGATTATCAAGGTCATCTAAGCTGTTGATTTCAGCTCATGCATTTTGTTGACATGCTTGAAATAATAACTAAACTAACTGAAAAAAAAAAAACTAAAAACTGAACTGAACCGAAACCAAGCTCTCTGCAAAGTAGGAAATCAACATTTGTATGCAATGGGCCAGAGCCACAAAAATCCTTAGTCTGAGGCATGAATCGACCAGTCAATCATTTTATTCATCCCCAAAAGGAAACTTTACTGCAGTTTCTTGAAATCCCAAAGCACTTCAAAGATTTAGTAAAGATACAAAACCGATTTAAAAAAAATAAAACAACAATGATGCAAACAGAAACCACTAACTTCACGCCACTGCCGCCAGTGGCTGTGTGGGTGTGCGTCCATCAGAATATAATCAACTGTAGTCCTGTCAGTTATGAGAGAGATCTAAGGAACTGCAAAAATCTGTTTATGTCACATAAATATCAGTGTTCCTATCTGTATTCAGATTGATAACTATTTGTCACACAAGAAGTTGTTACAACTTTCTGTGTTTATATAAGTCAGAACTGTACAGGGTACAACTCGGTACATAACTTCAGCTTGTTTACAACAAATGTGGTGAACACTGGAAAAAATTTATTCAAAACTATCAGTCAGTGGTGGGAGGCTCAAATATTACTGCTGAAATGTAGATACTGTTTGAATAATGTATTTATATTTGTTTACATTCCCACAAAGGAGATTTCAGGCTTAAAGATTCCCTGCCTGCATGTATTATAGACATATATACAAATAGTCTGCTGGGAACAATAAAGGTTGTCTGACTGTTTTTTTCTGCAGAAAAAAACCCAACTATAATTCCTACATTAAAATCCTTAAAAGCATTATTAAAAACAGAATCTATGAATATGTAAATGTTGTTCAATTCTAAAGTTTTCCTGCTGGACACAAGATGTCTCCTACTTCAATGTAAAGTCCATTCTCAGTCTATGTGCAATGGTGGCTTCAAGTTTCTACATCACACTTGCAGAAGCTGCATAGTAGACCAACATTGATTTCTATTTCTATTAACTATTTGTGATGTTACAAATCATGCTGGTTGGCCCCGCCCCTTAAGATCAGATGTTCAATGAGGTCAGACAAACTTTCCACTTCCATCAGATGAATGTGAAAACATCCTTCTAGTGTCAAACTCGACTCATACACCATTCAAACATCCAACTGTAGGAACAAGAAGAAAAACATATTTCTGAGTGGCGGGGGACTTTAAAGTACAGTAAAATTTTAGCAGCTCAGAACTGAAATTTCAAAAGATCCACTTCTGTCAGGCAGGATCATGAAGAAAAAATTATAATTTCTTTACTTCAGGAGGATTCAGGCTGAAGGTTAAAGGTTTCTTCATTCAGTGTGATTCTTAGAAGTTGAATGTGGGGAAGAGAGTGTGCGTGACATCTGTCTCATGTCACATCTGAGCTTGACGTTTGAGCTAAAAACAGAAAAATATCACTTCCTTTTGGCAGTATTTTTATACATTGTCATGGAATTCATCCCAAAATAAGTTTGTCATGGTCAGATCCACCCATGATCTTTGCGTGTTGAAGAGGTGTGAGATGCAATGTGTTGTAAAAGAGGCAGTGTGCTAAGATGATACAAGGATATACCATCTTTTCACGTCACCACTGTGGTTTTTTTTATCAAGATGTTTTTGAGATTGCTCAAAAGGAATTACGACACAGGATACGTGTGAACTCACACATTCACATACTGTATCAACTAGTAAACAAACTGGAGCCCTTTATTTTTAAAATGCATTCAATAGATTAATTTATTCTAAGCAGCATGTGCAGGTTATTAGGTAAGTCAACACATTTTATGAATGTCGGAACAAGAAATAGGGCAAAAGAAAAAAACACATTCAACACTACCTTCATCCAATGGAAAAACAGGACTGACTCATGAATCACATTAGGAAGCTATTCTTATTCTTCTGTATCTTTATGGAACAAGTTCTGTTCTTCCAAACTTTAGCCTCTAACAACTTTTCTTCTGTGATAATCTGCATAGACTACAGTGCTGGTGAGGTCACAGTTTCCTTGATTTGTGGTTTGTTGGAGGGTTGAGCAACATTGTTCATTGACGTACAAAACTTAAACTTGATGACTCGACTTCCGATAACTCCCGGTGTGTAAAATCCACCTGTGTCTTGTAAAAGGAAAATTACTTATGATACTTATGACATTGCCATCTGAACACCACAAACAGATACATACACAGCAGAGGAAATTAACAGGGAGATAACAACATAATTCACAGTATAATGATCTGCAGCAACTACAGCCTTTGTAAAGGGCTTAAGCTTTGTGTTAAGACTGTATCAGAGAGGTAGTCATTTTTAGCATCCTAGCTGCACGGCTTAATAGTAATGTCGGTTGGTCAATCGGTCCACCACTTTGGTCCAGACTGAAACATCTCAACAACTATTGGATGGATTGCCATGTAATTTTGTACAGACATTCATTGTTCCCAAATTATGAATCTTCCCCTGCGTTTCCCTGTAGAGCCACCATCAGCTCAAACTTTTAATTTGGGTCGTCCGACCACATTGGCAGGCAAAAGTGTTAATATATAAAAGTGAAGTAAAATATTGCCTAGAAAGAAGCACGCTATAGAGAGAGAAGCTCAAACCTAGCTTACTTTCTCACCTCTGCACAGCTGGTCAATCAAGTTGTGAAGTGGGTGTGAACATCTGATCGTTGGTTTGGAAAGTTACAGAAATGATCTCACACAGACTCCTTAATCCAACATCAGAAAGGTGTAGGTATGGGAAGCTGACAAGAACTTTTAAATGGTCCCATCAGTCCTGTTGCCATAGCTTGAGCTGGTATTGCATTGTAGTGTTAGGTTAACTACCTTTGCTGAAGGCACAGTGAGAGTGTATTGGACTCGGCATCCTGCCACAAGTGCTGCAGCTTTCAGGGACTTTCTTGTAAATCCATTGTGAAAGCTTTGGCGCACTGACCAGGATAAACAGAGCAAAAATGAAAGTATGGACGGTTGCAGTTCGAGGGAAAGATGTAAAAATACAGAAGGCTCTTTGTAAAAGCATGGGGAAAATCCAGGATGTGTCCCTGTTTTGTTGGAATTTTGTATTGTGTTGGCCACCTGAGGGAAAGAAAACAAATGCACCCGACAGAGGTGTTTTATGAAACGATACTTTATACAGTTAAATGCCATGACAGGGTGATATGAAGATCAGATGAAAAGATATGTATTGTGTTTGGCATTCCACTCTGTGCTATCTGACTCCACACATCTATTGTCTGTTCTCCTTGACTGTGTGTGTGCACATGTGCGTGCTTTAAAGTGGGTAGCTCTTGATAGATTCTTGTTTCTCGGCACAAGATCAAAGTAAGGTGGCCTTAAAATTAGCTCGTAGGGGTTTGCATTGTATGTCACCGCTGAGTAAAGACCTGGAGGAGCGAGCGAGTCCTTTAATGTTGATCCAAAAACCAGACTATCCACTTCGTAACATCATTTCACAGGTGAGAGCCGTGTCAGCCTCCATGAAACTAATTCCCACAGTGAGCCTTTGCAGTATAGCACGGAGAATACTAAAGTAATGATTCTGCATCCAACCTGCTAATTTATAAGTGATCCAAAGAGGAAAAGCTATTCTCAGTGACAGAATCGGATTATGTGACGATCCATATGCAATCACTTTATGCCAAGGGAGAAGACAGACGTGGAGGAGAGATGGCAGAGAGAGGAGACAGAGGGATTAGAGATGAGAAGGAGGTGTGGGGGTGTGAGGATGAGGGGGAGGAAGATAGAGAGGGAGAGGAGGGCGATGGGAGAGAGAAATAGCAGGGTTGCCAGGACTCCAAAGCTTGTCTGTCATTCTGTGCGTCAGTCAGCCTATTCCCAGGCTCAGACGCAGGTACAGTATTTGCGCAAATGGGAGTATATATACACACGCACGCACACACACACACACAAAACACACATTTTCTCACTCTATCCACGCAAGCTGGATGCTGGAAATATCCCTATTTATCCTCTGTCACAGTCTAATTAGATTCCACCACCACAGCAATCCCTTCCCCTCCACATTTTCTCTCTTTTCTTACCTCACTCACACTCTCTGCCACACTATAGCACTGCAGACCTTCTGGCTGTTTCCCTGGCAACAGCTGCTTCCTGTTTGTCTGTCTGTGTTGCCATGGAGGAAAGGGTAGGGGTGATGCTGGTGGTGGCAGCGGCGGCTCACTAAGGATAATAAAGTGCCCCTGAAGTGGGCGTCAGGTGTGTGTGCCGTTAGTAGGTGTGATCAGCTTGTAGCTAAGTTCATGGTAAATCATAAATATAGAAACGTAGATACCTCACTGGGCGCTGCTGCATGCCTCGGCCGCCAAACTGCAGAGGTCAAGATCTGCTAATTAACAATACTGAGAGGTGCAAATAACACTACAAACTATAACTTGCTTAATTCTGCACCCATTTTCATAATAGTATGTTTGTTATAAATGTGAGAAATTTTAAATGATACTGGTTACTTATTGGAATTAAATTCAGTTACTGGGGGTGGATCTTATCGGCTCTAGGCCAAAACATGAACCTTCTGAATAGCCACAACTTCCACTGGGAGATACAGGCTACGATCTATAAATAGGCAACATGGAGTGTAAATCATTAGGAATCCATTGTATTATATATATATCTTATGGATGGTTTGGAAGCTCATTATAGTAAAACATACACACATAAAGCAACACAGTGGTAAGATTTATGTTTTAATGTTTTTTGAGAGTATGCTTTGTTTTGACTAGAGGAAAAGATGTCTGGATGAGGAATAACCGTTGGGTTTAACAAATGTAATGCTATCTAACGCAGGTTTGGCTGTATTTAATGGAATATAAACTTCCCCAAACCGAACAAAGAGCAGGACAGAACCGCTATTCTGACCCTGATATAAAAGCACCCTAGCTCTCCTGTGGCGGAAGTGATCAACAGGTGTATTTCAACGTAACCTATAACCCCACATAACAGGAGTTAGCTAATGACCCCCCTCTTGCCTTTACTAACGTTACTGTAAGCTAGTTAGCCAGGTATGCTAACATTTGCAGCTTACACTTTAGCTCTTGTGTTTTGGAAAGGTGATAAAAAACAGACATGAGCCTTCAAACCCTTCAACTGCCATGTATCTCTCTTACATCAGCCCCTCACACACCTTCAGCATGTGGAGAAATCAAAGCTTGACGGGCCTGGAGGGCCTAGTTACGGTTGCTAAGTGATGATTGCACAGTCGCTGGAGCGGTCAACTGTCACATGAGTTTGAGTTGAACATATTTTTATATTTTTTATGTTTCTATGAACCTGAAGACTGCTCCTACAGTCAGTAGTTCTCAAATGGGGTACTAAGGGTACTTTGGATTACTGCAGGGGGTATGTGAGATTTTAAAAAAAGGTTAAATTAAAAATATCAGTCATGCATAATTTCTACAATATTTGTACTATAAGTTCCATAGAAATGTAAATTTAAGTTAGATAAACCACATTTTATATTCAATATTCCTGATTTCAGTGCAGTCGTTAACTGTTGTAGACCTGACAGCAGTTGAAGAAGAACAAGAAGGATGATGATGTGTGTTCACTGTTAGTGGGAAGCCAGATTCAATATTGAATGACGGGCGAAAATCAAGAAAATGGATTTGTGGATGGCAGCAACACAGCTGAAAACACAGAGAAATGAAAAAGAAAGCAAAAACAGAGCCAGCAAGAGACCGGCAGTATAAGTAAGAATATGTTTTAATAGGATTTACCCCAACAAGCTGCAACCCTCCCGAGGCATCGTGCTTTTACAGTTACAAGGTTGTTCCAACCCTTATGGCACTGTGCCGTATTAAACCTCTTTATATAGGTTGTTTTTTTTTTTCTACCAAAAGTTTTGTTTGTCAGGGGATACTTGGCTGAAATATTTCAAAGCCAGTACATTATTGAAAATGTTTGAGAGCCAGAGGCCTAGTAAAATAATTCTGTTTTTATCCTTTGTTGTGTTTTTTAATCATAAATACATCCACCAGATTAGAAACCACAGGGCCCCACCTGACCCCATGGTTGTAAAACGTTGTTCTGTAACTGATGACTAATTACAGGATGGTGGTTTAAGATTTCTCCTTTCATTTACAAAACTTACATTTTGTCAAAACAGCCTGTTTTTCCAGCCTGTGACTGTAAATAATATTCCACGAGTAATGAGTTGCACAAACATCGTCCTGTTTCATATAACCTACGCAGATCACAAATATAATTAATAATTTGCAGCATCGGTGCACTGTAAACATTGATGTGGGCAGCCACTGACCTGTGGGATGAACTAACTCATCGTGGTGGAGAAGGTCAGTGCAAGTCAGCCGGAGCAAATTAGACCCCAGAGTCCCTGTAAGTGCACAGGCCATCGCTGTAATTACTATGAAGACTGCTGTGCTCCACACCAGAGTACAGGATTAAATCCTACAGACTGGCATAATAAAGCATGATGTATGAAAGCTGCACATTTCTCCAACTCTTCCAGTTTATTAAAACTTAACGCTTCGCTGAAAACGCCCAAATCAACACAGCTTTCTCAACCTGAAGTTGACGTGAAAGTTCACAGTTATTGCAGCTGTGTTGTCTTTAGCCAGCTGTGATTTTACACAACCAAAGTCAATGAAAAACAGTCGTCACAGCGTTGCAACATCTGCATCACACGATGTATTTAATTTCTCATTAACCTACTCGAGCGGAGCATGTGTTGCAATTTTCATCCCTGAAAAAGGGCACGTCAGCATTAGTGTATCGTCTGTTCTTGCATGTTTTGCGCTCTGTGTTGACATTCCCACTTGTGACTGACTTTTATATGTGAGTGAGTGGAGCTCAGAGTGTTTAGCTATGCTTTAAAGTTACTGTGTCTTTGTAGCGCGAGAAGCCATAATGACACATATTTGTTGACGCATACCAGGCGTATCTGAGTGCCGCTTCCCCCAAAATGGTGTTTGATAAATGCCTGGAATGATATCAAAACGTTGCTCCTGAGGCATTTATTTGTAAGAGGAGCTCTTCGACGAGAAAGCGACCGCAGTGTTTTGGCAAGAGGTGGTGTGTGTGTGTTGGGGGGGGGAACAATAGCTTCTGCTTGAAAAACTTCTCAAGTTCACAGGTACAACACATGGTAAACAGGGTATGTGGGGCAAGTATCTTGTTCCATGCCGGCCTGTTTGCCTCCCAACTCGCAAACTGTCAGAAGATAAAAGAGGAAACATAGCAGAAAGAGAGTGGGAAACACAGAGCGACTTCAAAGCTGGAGAAGAATTTCTTTAAACATGGTTCTCTAAAGACCACATCAAACACAAGGGGAGGCGAATGGGGGAGGGAGGGAGCTGGGTTGGGTTCATGTGTGAGCGCATGTACATGGATTTGTGTATGTGTATGTGTGTGCATCATAACATGTTGTAGAGATGCATCTAGGCTATGCCGCTCCAACACAAGTGTAGAGAAGAAAAAGAGGCTGTCAGCACTGATAAAGAGTTTGAGTCTGTGTGTGTGTGTGTGTGTGTGTGTGTGTGTGTGTGTGTGTGTGTGTGTGTGTGTGTTTCTTCTCGTTCTGGGAGGCCTCTTCAGCACCCAGAGAGCACTTCAGCACAGCGGCTGCCAAGGAGACGATCAGAGGGTGGCCCCGCAGCCCACACACACGCTCACGCATACTCACCCTGCTGCATCAGGGCTCCCGTCATGTAAGTGCACAGCCGCACACACACATACACGCACATACGAAACCACACACTTCATGCTCTTTTATAGTGTATAAACCAGAGTGGATATTGATTGTTTTAAACAGAGCATTTACGACGCAAATGCTATTCCTAGGGCCTTAGAGTACACCCACACGTTTTCCCCCATGACACACACACACACACACACACACACAAGCAGTACGAACACACACGCACATACAGAAATGCACAAACAAATACAAGCGATACATGAAAACAGACATTTTTGACATTCCTGCAAAAGCCCTCTGGTATCATCTGCAGGCAACACCACACAATCACCTCTGACTCAATGGCCCATTGTCAGAAATAAACATGACCTTTGTCCTGTTTTCACCAAGGCTGTCTGCGGGGTTTCAGACCTGGCGTTTCAGGCATCGCTCAATAACAATGGCGCTGTTGGAAAAAGACAGCCTACTTAAATGGAAACTGTGTAAAGTATTCCAGTCTGAGGTTTGTGTACTGTCTGACCCTGTGGCTCCTGTTCTTCCTTTCTTTTCATGGAGTTCTTCCTATTTCTCTGGTATTCTGCCACTCTGGCAGATACACTGTGGGCCTGTATCCTTCCTGTCTGCCATTGCCTGCCTGTCCTTGGCCGTCTGTTTGTGTTTCTGCCTGTCTGTCTGTCAGGCTTTGTTTGTTTCTTCCTGCCCTCTGTCAACAATTATGGTTGTGTCTCTCTACCTATTCTATTCAGTTTTATGTCGCAGTCGCAAAAAAGTTTGTAGAACTTGACTAGCAGCCAACCCCTACATCACTATCACTAGCAGCAGTAGTTGTTCTCTCTCTCTCTCTCACACACACACACACACACACACACACACACACACACACACACACACACACACACACACACACAGTTTTGGGGATGTTACATTAATTTGGTTATAAATCAAAATATTCATGAAGAAGAAGATTTACTTTATTAATCACCAATGTGAACATTAATTTATATATTTTATATGATTTTATATTGATACATAGAAATTGTGGAACGATGGGCTACCAGCTGGGAGCAGTAACTGGATCGGTGCCTTGCTCAATGGCACCCCAGCAGCTACCAATCCACGCTGTATACTGTGGTTTGTGCTGGACTCAAACATGCCACCCTGAGGTTCCCATGCTTACAGACTGCTACTCCTGCCCAACAAACTAAAAATTCTCATTCAAATTTTGATAGTACAGTTGTTGAGACATTGCACTTAAAAAACAAAAAATATCAATGTCATGGTGCCAAAGATAAAGTCAGAGGATCACCAAAGGCGGTGTGATTCATCATCTGGACACCATGAATGTCGGTACCAAATTTCATAAGAATCCATTTTATGATTGTTAAGATTTTTGAGTGTGGTGGACCGACTGACAATCATTATTTTTTTAGAGTTTTCTAGGTAGCACTTTGCTATTTAAACAGCATATAGCTGGTAACACGGGTTGATATCAGTAAATGAGTTGTTCTTCACAGAATTTGATTTGCATACTTAATCTAGATACTGAAATTGTCATAATGTGTGTTTAACCTTTACTTTAGATTACTAATACCATCACTGATGTTACTGCACCAGGTGTATAGGAAATCATGTCTTCACAGCACAAAACAAGAACTCCTTTGCTCTTAATTCTGTAACTTACAACATGTTTTTACTTGACTTTCACCTTTATGAAGACTTGTTGTCTGCTATGCACCTTCCTGTTAAAACGCCATGGATGTAAGGTTGGGTGGGTGGGGGCTCTTTACTGCAGGAAGAATTAAGGTGCATAGAGTCTGTGGTCATTACACAGATATGATATTTTTTGACACTTCCAGCCGAGTAGGCGTTATGTTTATCATTAACAGGGGGGTGGCGTGCAGAAAAGAGATGGCCAATTATTTTAGGTAACCTGCTATATAGGGTATATAGTTTAAAGAATATGATGAAATACACAGCAACAGTTTGACTACTGATATTTCAGAGCAATGGTTGGGACATCTTACTTGCACAAACTTCAGTCCGATAAAGGATCAATGAGACAGACTTCATATAAACAACCCTTCGTCCTACTCTTGCTGCTACTCAGGGTTGGGATAATCAATTCAAGAAAATGTCTTCAAGCAAAGGACATGTCTCATGTCTAGCCTAATGATTGTCTATAGTCAACAACTGAGTGCAATCAAATAAAGAAAATAATATTTCAACAGCATCCATTGTCAATATTCACTGCCTGCCTAATAGTGACCTTGGTACCAGAGGATGCGGGGGGGGGGGAACAACTGTTGAAGTATATATCCAGTTTAATGAGTTTAGGTTTAATCACTCATAAGGTTTATGCTTCTTCCTGACTATCAAAGATTGTTAGAAACAATTTTTATGCGTGGTTTATTATAGGTTTCGGCTAATCTTCAAGTTTGTCCCCAATCTTCTGCGCATCTGCATACACCGCTGAATACTGCATCCAGCACACAGCTGTAAAACAAGGCTTCTGAAGCTATTTAGCCTTTTTTATTTCCTTTTTTATTTTTATTTGAATTTCTTTATTTATTATTTATAAGTCCCTGATAATGTTAAGGTAAAACATCCAAATAATAACATTACACCCACAAAAAAACAACACCTCGGTTGTGATAAACTGGTAGGAGTTGGAAAAAGCTGACCTGTGGAAAATGACACTGTCCTTTGATGGCAGGGGTTGCTGGAAGCCTATCACAGGCACAATCAGTTCGCATGTTGGAGTTTACGTTTGTCATTTATCATTTGCGTCTTCCACTGAAATTAATAACAGATACAGAGAGGAATATACACAAACACACACGACCACAGGATGTGATCAGAATTCGAACATCCTCTCTGCCCCCTCAACATCCTGTGTGAAAACCCTACTACAGCAGCACAGGAAGTCGTGTCTGTCAGGAAGGACACAGGGGTTAGTTGGGACAAGACTAAGCCACAGTGAGCTGAGCTGAATGAAAAAGTGACGCATATATTGCAATCAATACTAATAGAGTTTAGGTTCAATACAACTTCCTCCTCGCTGCCATATGCAAGCTGGGAGTTGAAAAGTGTCTGACAGGCGTTAGATAACCTCCATTCATAAGACACTCATACAGCTGATCGAGCGTACCAACCTGTGTGAAAGAGTCGGTACTAATGTGATTAGGTTTGATGCTGCAGATGATTTGCCTCGGGACATTGTTCTGCTCTTTGATCCTTCTTAATTGATACACGGATGTGGGTGGATGGCTAAAGCTAGCAAGGAGGGAGGAAGATGAAGAACGGGAGTAAAAAGAGGGGATTTTTTTTTGTGTATGCAGAAAATAGGGCAGAAAGGGCACCTGCTGGTTTCACATGGCTTTGAATGGCCCCGTTTAAGTGGCTGTACTCACGCATGCATCAGTCTGAAGCGCTGCCCCTGCTGTGAGCAAATGTGGTTTCGAGCACGTGGTGCCTCTGATCAAGGCTATTGGCAAGGTGGTTTGTGTTATCCGGGGGGCGGACCAGAGATGGTGGTTTATTTTTTATTTTTGAGGGAGTTGAAGCACAGGTGCATGTTGTAAAGAAGGATAGTTAAGGATGAAATAGGGATAGAGAAGAGAGAAAGAAGCAGCATGAAGTTGGGGAAGGGGGAAAAAACAAGTACAGCAAACAACAGAAGAAGCATTGACAGATGCCAAAGTTTAAAGTTTACTGTCTACAATATCTGCACTGTGGTACGGTTGAGGTTAGTGTAAAAGCAAGTAAATTATTGTTAGTATGTTTGCTTTTTTCCCTCCTTTTTGGGCTTTTTATGCCCTTAAAGGATCGAGACAGCTGGAAGTAGGGAGGAGATAGAGAGAGGGAATGACATGTAGCAAAGGGCCACAGGTTGGAATCAAACCCCGGGCCAATGTAAGTAGTCAGCCTTAGTGGGAGCTCTAACAGGTGAACTCCTGGGACACCCCATGTCATCACCTTTTAAGTTTATAGCCATAAGAATGAAAGCAAGAGAATGAGAGTGAGTGAAACCAAAACAACAAGCTAAGAGATGCTGTAAGGCTCTGTAGAGCTGCAGAGTCTAGGGTGGGTTGGTCACTAAAAGACCCCTTTCAAATAAAAATAGTTGTGATGATTGCCACATAAGGACATGAGAGTATCATACAACTTTCAACAAAAAAGGGAACATTGCTTTAAGGTGGTCATCTTAACTCAAGTGATCCCAGGTTGTCCTCTTTGGTTTATCCATTTAGGCCACCGCTCTGGTTCACTGAAAGTCCAGTCTGGTGTGACCGTAAGGCAAAATCAACCCTAACTACAACAGTTACCTTGCACACAGTGGTGGTGCACCTTTTTCATTTTGCCCCTCACCTTTAGAAAGTCTGCATACGCCACTGATCATAGTATCATTACTGTCCTGTTTCTGTGCTACACTTTAATACTATGATGTCTTTCATCTTAGATTTTCTTTATGCATTCATCTTGCCCGAGTGCCAGAGGTGGAAATTCATTAAGCTTAACTTTTTTTCCCACAAAAATACCTTCAGATTATTGCAGCATATGTGGGCCTATAAAATGATTACTAATATATTACTACATGATTACTCATTATTAGATTTTAATATAGAAATTCATTGTTAATATCTTCTGAACTGCACTGATGCTGTCTTTTGTTGTCTGAGCATTTCTTCAAAAATCAACTTATAATATTTCTATAGTATAGCTTATATATATATATATTTATACATATGTGTTTGTGTGAGCATGTGATGGGAAGAAAACCAGATGTGGCAGACAACCAGTGTGTGCACGTGTGTTTTCGACCCACTCAGCAAAGAGAAACATCTGTCTGTGGATCCACCTGCATGCAATCATCTCCACACAACATCTGCGCTTATCTGTCAGTAAGCACAAAGAAACCATTCTGCTTTACCACTCATTAGATGCCAAAAACGACTTTTCCATTTAAATTCTGAACCACCATACACATGCCCATATATTCAGGATCAGATGTCAAGAGTGTTTGTGAGTCACGGCCTTTGAGTGATCATGGTCTTGGCAGAGGTTACAGCCAGATAACATCAAATGAGAGTTGGACACACACACACACACACACACACACACACACACACACACACACACACACACACACACACACACACACACTATACACAGTTGGAGGAGTCCTCTATTTGAGTAACTGCAAAGGCTGAGCTGAGAAGTCAGTTATCGAGTGCTTGTGGGATAAAGACGAAGCCAACTAAATGCGCATTTGCCAGCCAAGTCTGCGCTTAAAGTTTCTACATCTGACACCGAAACTCATTTTCCTCTTTAGTGTCATGGGGCGTTGCATTGATTCAAATAGATGAACGGAGGTACTCTCTAACAGTCACCTCCACCGCATCGTCGTCTTAGAACGTCAATGGGATGCAAGTACAACTTTCATTATTACTCACAACAGAAGAGAAAGTTGACAGCTCCCTACAGCTGCTCTGTTTTACAAGGGAATCTTCAGACTGCAAGAATACTGCTGGCTTGTAAAATGTTCAACACAAAGAGAGGAACTTGGATGCAAGTGCAGTTGGAGTTGGTGATTAGCATCAGTCCCTCAAGAAGGGACCCAGAAATAGAATAAAGTAAGAACGACCCCCCACCCCACAACCTGTAGGGGGTCTGGTAGCTACAACTCGTTAAGGTATGAAATAAAGCAGTAAAAATGTGTATCTATGAGCGAGTGTGAGGGAGTGAAAAACATCTACAGAAGCACATACACCAACAGCGTGTCTGCATGTGTGTGTGTGTTATGCAGGTTGTGGGGCAGCTATGTGTGCATACGCAGTGTGAGGAGAGTGCTGGGGGGAGACCACCTACACTTCCACCTGCTCTGCCTTTTAGAGGGGCCTCTTCAATCACAAGGCTGGGGTCATTATGGATGCGAGCCTCTAGCCGCCAGGCATTGTTTAGCTATTTCTGTCCTCGCGCTTTACAGTGAAACATCGAGCAAGAGCCCTATTAAAACCTGTGCTTCAAAACAAGAGCAGGCACGACAGGAAACATCAGGTCCTGTACATCAGACTCTCCAGTTTCTCATGTGGGAAATAAAATCCTGAACAGTGTGTTCTGAGACAACATTTGAACTATATGTTCTTAAGATTGTTCCTCTGACACACGTGTTTCATTATTTCTTCTCAAGAACAGAGGATCAAAAGCATGCAGCTCTGCAGAAATGCAGCACAACAAACTTTTCTTTATTATGGAGGTAGATGTGCTAATAAACGAGGACACCTCTGACTTTGCCCAGACTGACACGGTGATGAGTAATGACAAAGCAGTGAACTGTTTGACAGGCACTGTGAAGATGACTAAGTCCAAACTTTCAGAGTGAGATATGAAGGGGGAAGATGTTGTCTGTTCTTCACTTCAGGGAAAACTATTTGAAGGCTTCTGATGCTACATGAGTTTTTCCTGTTTTGGTAGCTCTTTGAAAGGTTCTCTTAAAATCAGCCATTTGTCATATTAGGGGTTGACTTCTTGGGAAATAGCGCATATTTGTTTTCTTGAGATGAGATGATTGATATCACCCTCATGTTTATACAGTAAATATGAAGCTAGAGCTAGCAGCCGGTTAGCTTAGCTTGGCATAAAGTCTGGAAACAGATCACGATATACACTTACCTGCACAAAAAAAAAAGCTCACCAATTAAAAGGTTGTATCTTATTTGTAAATAATAATAATATTAAACACACAGTTGCTGTTGCAAGTTGCGAGACAGGACTGAAAATTGACACATTTTGCTTATATGGGGGATTATGTGCTAGGTAAGCTGTTTTCATATTTATCATACGGACATGAGAGTGGTATTAATCTTCTCATCTAAGTCTCAGCAAGAAAGCAACGTTAATTTCCCCTCCCCCCAAAAAAGTCAAACTCTTCCTTCAAATCATACAAATTCTCAGTGTTTTCTTAAAGCTGTGCAGCTTCAAAACTTCTCAAATTCAGCCGAATATTTCTTTCCTGTTTGAAACACAAGTAAACAACTCTGCAATGCAAACAATTAAACAGTGATTTGTGACCAAATGAGACTATTAAATTGCCCATAGAGAGTCTATATTTGGAGCCGAGCTTCCTAAATGCACTACTTAAGGTAAACTACATTAAATGTGAGGTAATTAGCGTGCCACACAACAGACCACAAACTGCTAATTGTGCTGCCTGTGGTTGTCTCTGCATGCCTCCACCCAACAGAACCTGCAGACTGCTCTTAATAGTAACCTCGCATCTTTTCTGCACGAGATCACGGTCCGAGAGCACAGAACACACAAACAGTAATTGTCAGCTGAGGTGTGATACAAAAACATGTCTGATAGCAGCCTGAGCTGAGGCATGGGGCACACTGTGGTCTATGTGTGACTGTCTGTTCTGTTCAAGCTGTGCACAAGGTGGTGCACCAGCAAAAGTGCATTTACATATGTGAGTAAGAGTGTGACTGTGAGCTAGAGTGGAGTGCAGTGTCTGTGTTTGTGTGAGTGGATGAAATATGTGGGTGTTTGTGGGGGAGTTGGATGATTTTTACAGGCACTGATTCACTCGAGGGCGTCCGTGTCCAGGCTTGTTTAAGACGTGCTGGGTCCCAGGCGTTGGGAATGGCGCTCAGTTACAGGATCACGCAAAGTCTCCCTGAGGCTTAACAGGAGTTGCCGACGCAGACAAAGTCTGAAAAATTTGTGGTCTTTTATGTTGACAGAAAAACTTGCATGTGAGTGTTTGCCCCTAGAAACTGCTGGCACTGCACCTTTTCTCTGAACCCTCTCTAACCTGAGAAAATCCCTGTGGATTTTTATCACACGGACACAAGCAGACACAAGCAGAGTAAAAGCATGTGTGTTATATGACTGATTGTGTTGCTGTTTGTTTATATTACTTTATGAGGTTTGAGGGCGTGTGTGTGACTTGAAACTTACTCACTCTGCCATCATCGACTTGAACTCTGCACCTCTTCTTTGCAGACTGGTGACGTCATTCCTGTCAAGGTCATGACCTTCCCGCCATTCATATCCCCCCTGAAGGGATTCCCTGGTCTGGCTTTACCTACAGTATGACGTCCTGGTGTCTAGTGCTGTAAAGTTTCCGCTGTATTTATTTGGACTAAACCAGGAAGTGGACCAGACACTGAGGATGAGATTTAGCACAGACAAGAAATAACTGCTGACAAGCCAAGAGGAAAGGGGAGTTTTGCAGAGCATATGTGATTGTTCATGCACCCAGATTTCTGATAAAGATTTTGTTGGTTATCAAAAAAATGTGTGCTGCAACGAGGGCAGATATGATGGAGCAGCTGCTTTCAAGTCTGCCAAAGGGAGAATAACTGCTCGGGTTGATGATTTACATGATTCTAAAAACCATGAGATCCACGGAGGCTGACATGGCAATCCTCTGGAGGCATTTTGTTTTAATAAAAGCCAAAGCCATGTTTTGACCATGTGGCAGATAAAGAACTAAAAAGAAACACACACATAGCGCAGCGGCTGTGGCTGTGTGACTGAGCCAAACCATAACTGAGAAGACCCGCTCAAAGGAAATCTCAAAGTAGCTTGGCAGGCAGCAAACGCACTGAGATCAAATGTGTGTAGACTTTGGTGGAGAAAGAGGAATTCATGCAGTTTTTTTTTTTTTTCAATTTGCCACTTCAAGACTGTGTGGATAACATTTCAGCTATCTCAAATCCCTGCCTCTCTTTGCCCTCCTCCCCTGAGACACACACAGGAAAGATCTGGAGCCAATTGTTATTGCCACAACACCCTCATCCCTGCACTCCCCTCTGTTACACCCTCTGTTACACTGTGCTACAGGCTCCCTCGCTTTTAACCTTTATAACCCTGAATTGTGCAAGATCATTAAGAGCACATTCTGTATTCATTACTGTGTTTGCATGCTCCTGTATTACAGACTGATAAACAGGAAAATAGGAAATGCAGGAGGAGGACAGGAGCAAAGCAGGGTTGAAGGGAGCCATGAGACACAGACAAACATGTTGACCTCTGGCGCTAACATCAGTGACCTACACTTTAGACTGACTAACAGTTTTTCTCCTCTCTCGCTCTCTGCAGAATGTGGCTGACTGCCTGCGAGCGAGGCTGCCCCCTGAAGCTCCCGTCAGCTACCTGAGTCACAGCTCCTAAAGGGCAGTTTCAGGTTCACTGAGCAGGATGGACATGGGACCTTGCAAAGGAGATCTCAGAGTCCCTTTAGTTAGCACGGACATGGACCGCACTGTGCGTGAGACCATGTGGCTGCCCAACAGGCTTTTTTTACCCCCTCCCTGATTTATCATAAAGAACTAAGAAAGAGGTTGTGACAGGGCCGATGCACACAGAGGTCACACGTCTTCCAGGGATGGAAGAGACAAGTTGTCCTTTTTCTGCAAAAATGAAAAGTAGTTTGGCATCATTGCACACAGAGAGAGTGAAGATTAATGATTCTAAAATGTTCAGTGACATATAATGTAAAATGTTTCTCTGACTGATAGATTTACGGCTCACTTGGATCTAAATGTGTTGTGCACATACTCAGCACACTGCCACGGGCATGGGCGTAGGCGCAGTCTTTTTCCCTCCAACTACATCTTTGTGTAAGAACAGCAAGACCTCTTTTATTTGCTTTGGCAGCATTTGAGTCTTATATGTGTCCATCACTGTGTCTGATATATGTCTGCCTGATGTTCTTAATGATTTCAGTCCAGCAATTTCTCAAAATGTACGTTAGAAATTGTGTTCATATTGTTATAGTGATCATAATGATAATTTAACAAGACAAAGAGTTATAGCCATAGTCTGTTAGCTGTACTGAGGCAATATGGTGGTTGAACTTTTGTTATAAATAAATTGCTTTGAGATATTGGAGCGGTGGGTAAAGCAGGTTTATTCCAAGTCAAGGGCAGGGTTCAAAGAAAAAAAATGCTGGGGAGGACCTTGTTTTTCAACAAAATTATCTCCCCTCCCCAATAATTTTTATACAGTCCCTAACTTGCTGTTACCATGCTAACATTTGTGAATTACCACTTAAAACAAAGAAAAAAACAGCAGAGGCTGATGGGAATGTCATTCATTTTTCAGGTATTTGTTCATAAAAACTGAAACTTTGACCTGATGATGTTGCTGGAGAAGTGAAGAGATTTTCTTGAGGGGGCATGAATGTACCAGATTTCATTGCAATCCTTCCTCTGGGGACCATGGATTTGTATAAAATTCATGGCATTTGATAGTAGTGTTCAGATATTGTTTATCTGGACCAAAGCAGTGGACCGACTGACCAACAGACCAACCAACGGTCTAACACTGAGCCGCGCTGCTAGTGTAGCAGAAAAGAAATCCTATTCGACACACTCATGATCGAAGTAAAAACCAAATCAAATCCCATGAAACATGATTAGTTCTGTCATTCATTATTCTATTAGTTCCTTGAAAAGAAGTCCCACTACAGTTAGGGTGTGGGTCTCTCATTGCAACACAGTTTCAGTTCCTCTACAATATTAAAGCAGATTGCAGGACCTCAGATACGCTCTTATATGAATGCTGTCGTGCAACACTAAATGCCCCTGCTGCATGTCAGGCTTGGAATGCATCAGATGCATCAGACCGATTAGAAATCTCATGAACTTTAGTCTTCAGATTATCTGCACGCAAATATGAGGTTGAAGCTGTCAGCAACATCAGCAGGCGAAGTGTTAATAGATCAACATCGTCTGTTTGGGAATAATAAAGTGGAGAGGAGGAAAACACCATCAGGCCATCATGTGATGTTGACGAGGATGATGATGATGATGATGATGTAAACGATGATGGATCCCTCTATTAATAGACCTGGCAATAAAGTGACCACAGTCACAAAGGAGAACAGCAACGCTATGGATGAGAGACCCCATTATGTCCAAATGAAGGAGTCAGCCACTCTGTCAAGAGGGCACTTTACAAACAAACCTCATTTGACTGAGCACGTCTTTCTCTGTCCCCTTGCCCACCCGCTCTCCCTGCGCCTACCCCCTACTCTTTTCTGCTGAGTGGGTGTTTGGAGGAGTTGTGAAGGTCAGGGAAGAGACTCTGAAGTGAGGAGCGAGCCCGGGGCTTTGACCTCTGATTGGCCCCTGGCCCAGCCGAGCTGCTGTGAGTCACAGAGACGGAGCGCCAGCCGAAAAGGGGGCCCTGCGTTGTTGAGAAGCAGACGACGAGGAGGCTGCTGCCCGGCTCTGACAAAAGGAGAGTTGTGCAGAGGTGGCGAGGCACAATGGGACGGTTTGAGAGGAGGAGGTGTGGAGAGCTCAATCCCCACCATAAGCACCTTATTGTGAAAGCCTGCTTTGTTAGAAGAATGCATAGGGTGAAGAAGGGGATTTTCCCTGTGTGTAGGAATTAGTGATATTGTGCAGTTGAGGTGGGAAAATGTTCATCACTTTGCTTCATTAAAACAATTCAAAATTAATCTCTTTTAGACATCACATGTTGTTCCCTACTTGATCTGGGAATAAAGACATAAAATGGTAAAAGTTTACTTTCCATGATTTATTATGGAGGTCAGAAAAAAGCCTCTTTAATCACAACTCAATACAATTTCCATCAGTGGATATGTGGGAGACGATTGGTAAACATTTCCACTTAATGTGGATGCTTATTTTTCTTATCTCCTCCCTTCATGCAGATGTTCACACTTCACAAATGTCAGCACTCATGAATACTCCACCCTAAGTGATATATGTGCATGCTCTCACACACACACACACACACACACACACACACACACACACACACACACACACACACTTACGGTAACTAGCTTCCTTCAACCCTCAGGCCTTGCCTTTCCCAAACTCACCCAGGAACAAGAGCAGGTAACACTCGGTTGGTTTTGGCACTCATCCATGTGATCCTGACTGTTAAAACTGAGTCTGTTGCCAAGCAGCTTGCCTGCCCTGGAACTCTTTGAAAGTTTGCCCAAAAAATATGCATAAAAAAAAAAAAGACAACAAAACATAGACACAAAATCCTGGAGCAGTTTTTGACGATAAGTAGGACTAGGGAAGAAAAAAAAGCAGAACTCAGAGGAAGGAATTTCTGTACTTAAGAAAGAGGACAACTCTAAATCTAAACAGACTAAACAGAGATGTGACTAATCAAGATGTGACTAAGATGTCGGCCACATTTTTTTTTTTTTTGGTTTTTTCGCAAAAGCTGAAACCTGATAACGACTTATCACCACATGTCATTGTTTGGAGCCGAATCCACCCAAAATTCACAGCACTAGTGTTAAAAAATTGATGGGGTGATTAATAGAGAGATTGTTCAGGACAAAAAAAACAATATATGAATCTATAACACATCGTACATCTGCCTCAGTGTTCACACATTTCTCTCTCCCACTGGTTGGGTAACATGAGTGTTTTTGACTAACATTTGGCAGGATGGCACGGTGCCACCTCACGAGTGTTCCCGTAAACACTCACCACTCTGGACCCTATACTGTTGTGCTTTGCCAAAATGTCACAGGGACTGTGGTCAACCTCGACCACAACGCTGAAAAAAAACTTAAACCCGAGCAGAGCAGGGCAGCAGCAGAAACAGGCAGCTGCACAGAGAATAGAATTTATAAGGGAGGTGGTAAAGTGGAGACATAACACTGCCAGGAACTGTTGTTTTCCTCTGTTTATTCATATTCCCATGGATACTGACAAAAAGGCATAGAATTAAAATAGTTGTTCCGAATACCAGGGAATTACCTGAGATGAGGCCATTATGCATGGAGACCCTAAAAGTGGTGATTTCAGACTTTCCAAATCAACTCAGACATTTTAAGGGAAAAGATGTTGAGTAACCTCTGTCCTAACAGGAGTGTTCCCTGTAGGCCAAAACATGATAACCAGGTCTGTCGGAGCAATCTTTGTATGTGCTTTTTCCAACAAGTACATGTTGTTACAGGGTAGTTCTGACTGTTAATCGCCAAAGGGAAAACCTGTTGAAAGCTCAATCCAGCCCCCTTCTCCAGCACAGGCTGGATTGTACACTGAGTGATATTTTGTGGATGAGAAGGGCAAAGTTAAATAATAATGCTGCACTCATGGTGTGAACCACAGGGAAGCGAGGGCGGGGGGGCTTGGCTCCTCTTAATAAGACATGAGCTGTTCGGACATGATGAGTCCAAACATGACTCATGAAATTTTGACAATATCCTATTTTTGCCATTTGTATCTTCTTTATCATGGGTCATATGTAAAATTAGTCCTAGTCTGTTATTGATGTATTTTGCACACTTGCTGCACTTGTTTTGACCTATTCAACGATATCCTTCTTTAATTTGGCAGTGTGCTGAGTTTAATTGTATTATCTAGACCAGATATTGGGAATATACGGTGTACATAAAAAGCTCAAATAATTAACTCTATATTTTAACTTAACTTTTCAAATATATCCACATATTTGTATCAAGGATGAACAGGAACAGTTGGCCAAAGGTAATGCATTATCATCCATTGAAAATTCAATAGTATGAAAAATATTATTGTAACAATATCCACTTTTGTATAATTAATAGTGTTAAATAACATCCTGTTCAGATTCGTATTTGGAACATGGTGGTGTTGATGAAGGGGGTCCTTGAGCTCAGTTGTGGGGAAGGTTAGGAACCACTGATCCTCTGCCTGTTTCTATATTTTATCATTCAGTTATATAGTATGCAGTCTGGCCATGTCTCTGGCAGACATCTGTAAACAAAAACATTTGTTATTGATGTGTTCAACGACTGTTGACCGTGATCAGAGATTCATCCCTCAGGTGCCGCCGAAGGATTTAGCGCCTTCTGAAGCAAAGCATCCCACCTGACTTGTTTTTATCTGTGCGGGGATACAGGATACTTCGGTGGAGGCATGTGTGTCTGTGTGGGCGTTGGAAGACTTACAAACAGGAGACAAAGGTTTCCTTCTCCACAACTGAAACAGGTGCACTATTGAGGAATCACATTTCCTTTCTCTGCACACTGTGCTCTTACAGAGTGAACCACGATTCCTCTACCTGTACAGCTCAACCAGATGAAAGGGAATGTTTGTGAAACAACCATTATAGATCAAAAGGCTAAAATTACTGAACGTGAATCTTCCTGCTTGAGATAATTGACTGGGTTTGGCTCATTTTGGTTTTTTTTTGACAAAGTTTCCTCTGTTTCCCATTCATGATCAAAGCAGGGCTACTTCAGGCACCATGCCCAACATCAGCAGTACCTCACAAACCTGTCAGGATACTGTAGGAGGAAGTGCCTGCTTTGAAACGGATCAGTGTTCTGCTTCACTGCTGTGTGTGTTACTGAGCAGAGTTCTGGTGCATGGCTAAACACTGAGATTTTAATGTAAATGTCGATAGACTGTGTAGGATAATTCCTAAGAAAAAAAAAAACTGTCTGCCCTGGTGAGTAAATACAGACAGCTGTTCACATCTCCTCCCAACTGAGTCCAGAAAGTCCCTAACTCACTCCCCATGGATGGGGTTTATACAGGAGCAGGACTGCTGCTGGAATGAGACCCGGATGGGCGTGGCTTCCCGGTTCTCCCGGAGAGGAACTGGCACGTCATCATGCCCATATAAGGCCTAAGGACTTCCTCCACAGGATGGATCGTAATAAACCTCACAGTAGTTTTATATAGGCTATAATTCATATCTAAGGGAACCAACATCAGGTTGCAGATGATAAGCTCACAGGTTATATTACATTAACTCAAACAAACCAAGGCTTTTCTTTTTTTCTCCTTTTTTAAAAAAAATAATGTAAAAACATGGATGAATGAAAGCAGTGATTTGATCTAACTGAGTAATCTCACCTCTTCCCTTACACAACAACAACTTATTCAACCTATAATCGCGCAGAAAGCCGTATAAATGAAGTGGGCTCTTCTATTTCTGACACCGGTCTCCGCTGCGAACCCTCCTCGGTGCGCTCTTTTTGCCTACAGGCTTGTTTACAGTCGCCTCTTCCCGGCATCAGCGTCGGGCAATGACGTCGCGCTCACTGGGGGTGGAGACCGAGCTGCCCGGCCAATCACAGCGCGGCACTGCCTTGGCAGCAAGAGTGTGTGTATGCCTATATAAAAAGGCACGTATCAGCCCTTCTCAATACAACTCAACAAGCACCAAGAGCAGCACATCAGCTAACAGGAATTTCTGATAAGTTTTTCCTTCCCAGGATTGCGAAGAGAACAGCAACCGGACACTGGAAGAGACTTTTAACAGCTGACACTGAGCTGCAAACACTTCTTGTTGGACCTTGGACTTTTCACTCTTTCTGTTTTTGGAGTGAATTTGACGTCCAGTTTGATTTTGGGACATTGTTGAGAGAGACGACGAGTGCATGCGTCTCTGCTGACACTGACATTTGTTGATTATCCAGAGACTGTTTCTATAAGCAGCTGGTAAGCTTACTTTTCCTACGACTTTATGTCTACAAAGATGGAACAGCCTTTTTATCATGACGACTCTTTTCTGTCGGCTTACGGCCACTCAGATGCAGCAATGCACGACTACAAACTGCTAAAGCAGAATATGAATTTGAACTTGACAGAGCCCTACCGCAACCTGAAATCCCAGCTGAGAGCCGAGACAGACCTGTACCAAGGGGGGCAGCAAGACGTGGGGTCCCTGAAGCTTGCCTCCCCGGAGCTTGAGAGGCTCATCATCCAAAACAGTAACGGTGTGATCACCACTCCCACCCCGGGCCAGTACTTCTATAACCGGGGCATCACCGATGAGCAGGAAGGCTTCGCCGAGGGGTTCGTGAAAGCCCTGGACGAGCTGCACAAGATGAACCAGATGCCTTCTAACTTAAACAATGGAGTTACGACGTGTTCGGCGGCGGCCTCTAGTGTCTTCGGCTCCGCCTTGCAGCCCGAGCCTCCCATCTACACAACACTGAACGCATACTGCCCGAACACAAGCCTCTCTTCCGCATCCAGTTACCCCACAGCCACCATCAGCTACCTGCCGCCGCACCAGCAGAGCCATCCGCAGACCTCGACGCACGGCACGCACCCGTACCAGCACGCTCTCCCCGGCTCCGGACTCCATCATCAGCGTCTGGTCGCTCTGAAAGAGGAACCTCAGATCGTTCCCGACCTCCTCAGCAGCGACGGCTCGCCTCCAATGTCCCCGATCGACCTGGAGACCCAGGAGAGGATCAAGGCGGAGCGCAAGAGGCTGAGGAACCGGCTAGCGGCCACCAAATGCCGGAAGCGCAAGCTGGAGCGCATCGCCCGGCTGGAGGACAAGGTGAGAGGTCTGAAGAGCGACAACCAGGGGCTCTCCAACACGGCATCGGTGCTCCGGGATCAGGTCGCCCAGCTCAAACAGAAGGTCCTGACACATGTGAGCAGCGGCTGCCAGCTGATGCTTACAAGCAAGATGGAGGTATTTTAAACAACAGAAACTACTAACGGACTGAAAAGTAATAACACTGGAGTCATTCTCTGCATGCGCAGCACTGGGACACCGGCTGATGTGCTGTCAGCACTGACAGCAACGCAGGGCCGGGGGCGATGTGTAGACAACTCTTTAGACTATTTAGGATGAAAAAGACTGATTGAAATGGTACTTCCGGATGCTGGACATCGCTCAAAAAAAACCATTCAGCCCTTGACACCAGGGCAGCATCCAGACTGAGCAGACACTGAGCAACACACAGGCCCAGAAGTCGGGTTTACTAATGGTAGAAAATGGGAATGATTATTGTATTTCTTTGTACTTTTTGCAACCGATATTGTCATGCAATGCTGCATTTATTCATTGTGTAAATTATTTTGTTTGTCCGGTTGATCCGGACAAACTGATGATGT